CATACCGGGAAAGAAGAAATAAATAGAAATGATTTCAGACGCGTAGAACTCTGATTTCGCACAAAAACCTGACATCCCACCAAGATTCATTTTCATGAACAGAAGAACAAAGCCTATCTCTCTCTCTCCCTAGCCTTACGAATAATTAATTTGTGGATAAAATGATGAAAACGAAATCAATAAATTTTTTTTTTGAAAATAAGAAACAAAAGTAACGTGACAAAGGAACTGTACAACTAGGAAAGAACCTATATCAATCAATACTACTTGAACCAAAAAAGGGAGAAAAACAAGAGTAGAAGGCTCCTGGAATGATCTGGAAGTTAGACCAGACTATAAACCTCGAGCACTAACAATCTTGGTCAGATTAAGGAAATATGAGTAAGGTGTCCAAAATACATTTTTGAGATGCCCGTTTCTGCAAGTTAAAAAATCTTTTGTTTTTCACGTGCTCAGCAGCCTTCTATTTCATGTGCCCAGCGCAGTGAGCAGTGTGAGGCACTTTTTCATTTTTCACTAGCCTGGAGCAGGGAGCGGTGTAAGCCGCTGTTTTATTTTTTTCTGTGTCCAGAGCAGTGAGCGGTGTTGAGCCTGGATACATATTCTTTCAAAAATAGTGCCCTATGCAAGCAATCAACTTAATCATGAGTTGCATTGTTAACATGCTTGGATAGAAAACTGATAAATAGCTGGCGGAAACGCATTGCAGATAATAGAAGGAGCGGAATACCTCGTTTTTTAAATCTCTATTGCTCTATTCGCTGAGCAACTCAGACTGTTCCAAGCGTTCACAGTCGTGTATTACACTCAAAGTAGTAATTATAGTTTTCAATTAATTACATTTTACCCTATTCTTTGTTTGATTGACTTCATCTAAGTACATCCTTTTTAATTTCCTTTCACGGAACATGTGTTCTACCTTAAATTTTATTGGTCTTTCAAAGAAGTTTTATTTGAAAAACAAATTACCTTTGCGTATTATCGTATTCAAAAGAGAGTCGGAAGACTGAATGAGGGCATTGTCAACAAGGTTGAATGAGTTAAAATGCAAAAAAAGCAAATTACCGAGTAAATCTATCTGATATCACCACCCTAATTGCTGAAAAACATAATCTGATTAAAATGTTTGAAGCCGCAATGTCTAAGTTTTTGATACCATCTAGGGTTTTCGCTGTCTAGAGCTGCCGCCTACGACTCTTTCTTTCCACATGGCAGAATGAGATGATAAAATGAAATAATTTCATTATTCAGATAGATATTCACTACTTCTGTGACCTGCTGTTCTTCGCCTCCATTTGCCTTCCTTCTCTTTTAAAAAATTTTGTTCCCTCATAAATTCTATTGCAAGTTTGTTCAATGAAATAGCGAAAAGACCTAACATGACACGATGTATTTGATGAAACAGAAGAGAAGCAAAAGAAGAACAGCATATTTGTCGCCCGTTTACTGTGCTGCATCAGGCATCGATAACAATCTAATAGATTTTAGTACGATAACAGCCATATAGAGAAATCATGAAGAAGACGGACGATGAGGGCGGACGACGACGATGACGAGGAAACAAAACGACAGGATGAACAACCAAAACGACGACATCAATCCTCTTCTACATACGAAAAATCATTATCGGAAAAACAACAATGTACATAAACACAAGAAAAAGAAATGTTAACACATCTTGCCAACGTGTCATTAAATTGATTGATTACATGACTAAGCGCTCTCGCATATCTTCCGGATTAAACTACAACCCTCATATTTCATCACCCCTCGAGTTTTTGAACAAAAAACAAGTCTGACTACAGATCGTTTGCTCATCATTTATGCCATTCAATGACGTTTACTTAATTAATAGAGACCAACGTACCACGAGTTTCTCACATACGCTCCCTACGAGACTCCACAATGAGAGATTGTTGAACACGTTTGAACTCTATCAGAGAGTATGCTCTTCTGTAGAAGGGTTGTAATTTTCACACTTCACAGACCTGATCAGTTTCTGGATGAAAAAGAAAACTAGAACGAATAGCTTCGATTATTTCAGAGCCAGCTAGCGATTCTCATTTCAACAGACAGTTCATATGGTTAAAGAAAGCATATCTTTCGTGTAGATCTCCAAAAAAAGTCTACAATAGGCTTTTTCTCGACTCGATCCCCTTCTTTCTTCAAGAAATCCATTAATCTGCTTCAGACAGCTGATGATGACACTTGTTAAGTTCTTCACAACTTTTTTCAATTCTTAACATTCACGTTGTATTCCTGCTGGAGACGTTTTTGTGTTGAAGAAAAAAAAAAGAAAAAAATTTCAAAATGTCAAGTAACACCAGCCCAGTTTTTGTTTCGTGAACATGCAAATTCCAATGAACGAAAAAAGAAAGTTTAATGGACAACTTAACTATTTGTAATAGTTAAAAGTTCATCTGACATTTGAATTGTTTTGTAAACTTCAATTTCAAGTTGATTATAACAAGAATAAAGATAATTATAATATATTCATATGAATCTGTCAGGTTTAAAGAGAGAAAAAAGTGAAAACAATTCAAAGATATAAATGAATTAACAATTATTCTTATTTTATATTTTGAAGAGAAAAATAAAAAAAATAATAAATACAAGCAAAGCTACGCAGACACACACACACAGTTATACAATGGATCACAATGGAAGGAAGAAAATGGAAAACAAGTGAATGGTTTTTGAGAGAGAAAAATGTTTTTTTTTTTTCGCTTTTACTTTACAGAGCCGGGAAATGAAAGGTTGTTTGAGTTCAAAGTACAAGTCTTAGGTTATAAAGAGGGGCAAGAGAGACAGAGAAAGGAATAGAGAAGAAGGAATATGCGAATGATACTGTACATTTTCTTAACATATAAATATAATAATTAAATAGAGATTGAGAAATCTAATGTTAAATTATATATAACTATATGTAAATTTATATTATATAAACTTTTTTTCGTTTTTAATACTAATGAACAGAGGTATTTCGAGTATCGGATACCAAAATAAGGCGACGCGAGGTGGTTTGTAGACCGGTGAAAGAAGATGTGAACTAGCTAATGGCTTTGATGGATTCTAAATCCATTTTTGGTTTTCATCTCACTGAGCTGAGCCACCAAATATAAAATTAGCCGGATATGGTTGGGCGTTATAGAAAGTTTGAGGAATTATTTTCATGTCATACATGGATTTGGTGTCATATATGCCCATCTTGTTCCATCCAGCATCATCCATGCCTGCAGTTGGAACTCCAAGACCGTTCACAATTGAACCTCCATTCTTTTGAAGTTGTTGAGGCTGTTGTTGTACAGATTGCTGTTGAGCCTTCTTGGACTTGGATGACATTTTGCGATTTCTTGATTGAATCGTTTCTTTCTTCATAGCAATGGGTCGTTCAACCTGAAAGAGCAAAGTATAAACAACACATTAAAAGAGCAGGACAGATTGCCCAATTCGTTAATAAATGTAAAGGAAATATAGTTTTTTTGTTTTCATAACTAAACATCAAAAGATATTTTTTGATAGGAAATGACTTTAATAGGAGACCGACAGTTAAAGATTGCGTCAATCTGTTTTGGCAACTCTAATCGTCTGCCGTCAATCTACCGACCCCTAATTGGCTTGAGAATATAATATCAGAGCTTTTTAGTCTTATATGGGAATAAAGGATTGAAACTTACATGATGAAGCTTATAATACAATCCACAAGCATTACATACAGTTTCTCCCCCACCATTCCGCCTCCATAAAGTAGTATGGTCTGTTTTGCAGTTAACACAAGCCATTCCTGATCGTTTCTGTGTGCTCTGAAAATAGGAAAAATAAGTTTTCCACCTCTCAGTTCATTATAATCTTTAAATAATTCTATTATCTCAATTATAATATGTGTTTTCTCACAGGAATGGCCAGTCAAAAGAAAATGAGTCAAAAAACACTGTTCATTCGGTTAAATGAGGTCAACCATGCTCAAAACCCATTTATCCGAAAAGCCAATGAAGATGGATTCGACCATTATCGATAAAGATCTTCTTTTCATTTTGTCTTTTCATCGTCTCCTTCAACGTCCACCTCATCGTCTTGACGACGTCGGCATTCATCTAATTCTGTGATTTACGACTTACTGCCAAATCGAGAAGAATATACCGTATGAGAGACGAAAGAATGGACAGAAATGGAGAGAAGAGAGATGGAGAGAATGTTGAATGCTCGAATTTCAGAAGTTCAAATTACTTGTAAATGGTGTTATCGTCTGTTGGCCTCCAAAGTTAAGAATATTGTTATTACATAAGGTGTGATGTCTAGAAGATTAACTGAAGGACAGTCAGCTAATCTTGTCTATGACGTCATAATATCATCTTTCATAACTTTTGATATTCATCATTAGATTGATGAAGAAGAAGCTTCTTCAGATGACACGTAAGGTCGTCTTGACCAATTAACCTCATAATGTGACGTCATACCTCAGATTGCAAAAGATTTGACTTTTTTCAAAAAACAAAGTAAATAAACTTCTAAATTTTTGCAGTGCCGGCCAGATAGTGAAAGGTGACAAAACGGTTGTCATTTTGACTGAATTCTGTTTACAAGACGACTACCGTACAGCTAATAAACGACTTAGGAACCGGTTCGAAAGAGAGAGAGAGAGAGAAAATAGAATGTTGAGAGAGAGAGAATTCTCTTGGAAAGGTCACTACATTTCGCAGAAATACGGTAGTTAGTTGGAATTTCTCAAAAAGCTTTTGGTTTTTCTTATATTGTTTGAAATTCATAAGAAAGAATTCAGAAATCTAAACGTACTTGTCGCTTTTTAGGCTTCACCAACGGCCGACTTGATCCATTCATTTTACTGTAAAGTCCACAAGCATTACACAGATAATGACCAGAATTGTCTCGACGCCAAAGTGGGGTCTGTTGAACTCCACAGTTTACACATTCTCTTCCTTCAGCTACAACAAATGAATAAATTAAAAAAACATTTCTACTGTACACTTACATGTTGATCCTTTGCCTCTTGAAGAAGCATTACCGCTGCTTGGATTCGTAGACGTACTGCTTCCGGATGATGAAGAAGCTGATGAGGTTGAGGATGAAGGTGTTGTAGTGGCAGATGCGGTTGGGATGCGAGGTAATAATGATTGTGATTGAATTTGATAATCATATGGATAATTGAATTGAGGATAAAACTGAGCTGCACTATTTTGACCTAGAAAGAAATCAGATAAGAAAATCATTGATAACAATCAAAGTAATCAGTTTAACTTACCGGCGAACATCGTTGGGTCCATCATGGTGGTCTGATTGAAAGTTTGTTGATCAGCTGATGATGTTGGCAATGTATAAGAAGGATAGACTGAGTTGAAAAGCATAGGATAACCCGTAAAATCTGAAAAAAATTGAATGATAATATGATTTTAATCTATTGAAAAGCTGCTAAATGTGCCATGATGAGACAATCATGAGCAAAGACATGTGCTACTTGCCTCAGGGCACTTCAAGTCAATGAGCCATGGCAATATAGATTAGTCCCTCTGGACGGGAGAGAGATTGAAGACTATATGACATTTAGATAGAGACAAAAGAGAAACAAAAGCACAGATTGTTCAGAATGGCTATGACTCTCCATTTTTGTCACAAATTCAAGCACAAACGCAGCTATGGGAAAAACAGGTGAAAACGAAAACTCACCAGCAGCAGCAGCATAAGTTGAATCTTTTCCGGATGCTGAGCCAGTTGTGGTGTTTGCTCCACTTGGTGTGGCATAATAGATGTTGGCAGCTGCAGCTCCACTGGTATTGTAGAAAGCAGAAGCTGGCTTCACTGGAGAGAATACCTGGAAACAAGCGTATTACAGTAACTCAATTTGAATTGAACGTCAAAAAATGGCAAGCATGATGATATTGGAGTAATAAATCACCAATCATGTCCTTAACGGACATGTTCATCTTTAGCGAGAGTGAAAAGGAATTTTTTTGCCTTCAGGCGGCTTTTAGGCCGATAGAGCACAAGGTGGTTGAAGCAGAACGTTCGCTGATAAAGATCTTCAAGGCAAATTATTCCTCATGGTCATTTTGTATTTTGTCGGCTTCTCGTTACAATTCACGGTAAATGACCTTATTTGACAATGTATGACTTTAAAAAGCCGAGAAGATACTAAGTATCGAGAGAAGCGTAGGGGAATATGGAAGAAGAAGAAGTGAAAAACTTACATTATCATCAGCGGTTGTTGGGGTGATATCTGTCTGTTCAGGTGGAGCCATCATATCATTCCCAGAAGCATTTGATGGGTCGAGAGTCATCATTCCTCCCATTGAACCGTCCAGCGGATACATAGTTGGAGTAAACTTATATTCCAAATCAGTCATATTTGTTAGATAGAATATAAAAAACTCTGTAAATCTCGTTCGAACTGTTAGAGATTTAGCAGAAGTTTAGAATTCACAACTTATGACAAATTTGGTTCAGTTGATATTCCGATTAAGGAAGCTGAAAAAGAATTGAAATTAGCAGGAACAAAATGAGATCGGCAAAATTAAGAAGAAATTGAAGATAAAAATGTTTAATCAATATCAGATGAGGTGGGTGGAAAGTTGACGACGATATTTCGACGTCAACATTACAGCAATTTGTATGAGAAGAGGGAATGCAAAAGCTACAAAGAGAAAAGTATTGAAAAGAGGAAAAAGTTCGCATTTTCGCAATGCTCGTCTTCATAGGAAACGGAAAATCTTATGAAATTTTATTGAAAAAAAGCATATTTGATTTCGAAGCAAAAGCTATAAATGAACTGTCTCTTCTGAAAAGCCAATTATGGCTTGTAGGAAACTGAGAAAAGGCTTGCGGAGGGATTACAAAGCATGTGTCCGGTTGACCGGACGATGGGACATGGACTTAAGGAGAGAAGCGAAATGTCTTCAGTCAGCCGTTGTGATGGACAGAGAGAGAGCAAAGACAACTAAACGTTGATTCAGAAGACGATGATGGGTGAATGATGATTGTCGTAGAGAGCAAAAGGAAAGAAGACAGAAAAGAATATGAGAAAAAACCAAGAGAAAAATTAAGTAAAACACTGAGCAGATACTATCATGAGAGCCACACAACATGAGCATTTGATAACATCAGAAGGAGGAAATGAATAAAAGAGAAACAAGCTGAACTTCTATGATGAAGCTGAGGAAGAACATCTGTACCAACGATAAGCAAATCTTGATGGGTGGCCGAAGAGATATAGCTTAAAGATTGTCATCTTATCAGGAGCCAACGAATAACCCGAGGGCACTGAACTCACGTGGAGAAAATCAATTGTGAGATGAGAATGAGAAGAGGGATGTGAAAGTTTGATGACAATCAGATAATCATCAAAATAGATTAAAACAATTGATATTTAATAGCTTACAAAGGTAAGTCAATAAGAAAACATCGAGCAAGAGCAATATTGATGATCTTCAATCTCATTTTTTTGATCTCCTCAAAAGGAGAAGGACCACAGAAAGACATCATGTGAACAGTACGTCTTCCGAGTGATGATCGTCACAGTCCATACGATTGCCTTCTTCGCCTCCGCCCTCTCTTCGTCCGTTGCACGACGGAGGTGGGACCAGGAGGTTGATGGGCGGAGCCAACCAATGTGAGGGCTGACCGTAACCCCGCCCACATGAGGGAGCAAGGCCTATGAGGTTTGAACGAAGGAAGAAAGCTTTGAATGAAGAAAAAGAGAAAAAGACTACAAAATCTTATCAGAAAGATGAGGACGGATGATGTTCATATAGACAAATGTCTTTGTCAACAGGCCTGACTTCAAAAATGAGCAATATGACCGGAGGGAATGAAGTAAAAAAGTTATAGAGAGGGAGAAAAATAAAGTTTATTTAAGAAGAAGAGAAATAAGAAAGATGGAAACTAATGATTGCGGAGCTTCAAACAACCAACTGAATGATGAGATGTTGAGATATTCATATTATGTTTTAATAAACATCTCCAACAATTAATAAAAAAAAAGCCACTACATCACTACTTTTCACACATTACCTCAGATCGAATGATCAGATGGCTTCACAAGATTGGTCAGGAACAGCCGTTCAAATAGATTGAAATCAGTTTTCATAGGGAACCCTCTAAAGCATTTCTCAGCTGCTCTCAGGATATCAGTGAGAACTAAGCTTGATCAGTAGGGTTCCAAAACCAAAAAGATTTGTTGTGGAAGAGGAGAAACATTCCAAAATCACTACTGTCCTCACGCATGGAAAATGAATAGAGAATGGTGAAGAATGAATGAGCCGGTCAGTAATTCATCCAGTTCACACACAAAAGAAGCTTCTTCATTTTTCTTTCATTCTCTCTCATAACGTATAACATATTGCTATATCTCACATATCCAATGGAATCCAGCTCTACAGTAGTCTATAAAAACACGAGAGAAATGGATGAAAAAACGAGGATGGAAAGAGTAAAAGAATGAAAGAGGGATAGTTTGTAGAGGAGAAGTTAAGAAAGAAGCTGCTTTTCTCAATTAATAGCTTTAAATGCAAGTTGTTTGGGTTTTGTTCTAGCTGCTTTGAGCAGAATCTACTGGGATTGTCAAGCTGGGCGGACAAAAAAATCTCAAAAATCTAGTATTTGCTAATTAAAGTATTCTAGCTATTTCGCACGAGTAAATGGAAAATCCGTGAAACTACTATCATTCAGATGAAACAACATTATAAAATAAGAAAAGCTTCACACCAAGATTCTGGATTGAGCACACAATCACAGCTTGGTCCTTAGGGGATTTATACCGTAGACGAACTGACGAGACAGGAGCTTCTGCTGTCAGTCACCACGATAATGGAGCTTTAATTGGAAAATAGATAATATGGCTGGAAAGAAGATGAGCAAGGGGACCACAATGAGCAAAACTTAGATCCTTCTCATCAGATTGCTTAGAAGTAGATTATTAGCACGGACGAAGAAAACTTGAGAGCGAATGAGGCTGAGGTAGAACAGACACTGCGAATGATTCGTTGAACAGTCGATTCATTTCACCCTAATTAGGTTCATGACCTGGGGAGATGTCGGAACACGTGTGCCCTGTGCAGTACCCATAGGATACGTGAAGCCTTAAGAAATACTTGCCGACACACGTGCCGCTCAGCTTGGTTACTAGAAACAGAACAATGGAATGAAAGAGAAACCGATTACATGCCTTTAAAAAACAAGAAGCCGATACAAGGTGTTAAAATATAAATAAATGAAAGAATACATACTCAGGAAACATATGCAGCTGGACGACAGTCAAGCCAGCCGACCGACGACACCGAACGCCTGTGAAGACCGGAAGCTGTGAGGGGTGGAGCCATTTGTTCCGTCTGGTAGAAGATTATCGCTCCTTATCTGCAAATGAAAAAGCCTTAAATAGTCGGATTTTTTTGATGTTCATCATACAGATTATATGTTTCAATATTAGGAAAATGGATTTAATTAAGAACTTCCTTCCATCTCATTTCGTTTCACGCTCCTCTTTGCATCTTTCTAACTATCATCTTGAGTGATCATTGAAAACAGTGACGACAACAGTGAAAGAAACCTTTCCTTCTCTTTCTCTCTCCTTTTTTTAAAAAAAGTTACTCATAAATCCAATGTTGTTTGCCGTTAGCGTTCATAATCTGAATGACCTCGTCAATCCATCTGAAGATTTTATGTTATGTTCACGTATATCCATCCTGTACAAGGCAATCACACGTGGAGGACATGACACAATCGAAATCAGATACGATAAAAAGAAAATTTATTAACAACCATAAAATATTTTGTGATTTAACTTTATATTTTATATATTTTTTTTGTTTCTATTCCTCATCCAAATTGGTACGAATCGTTTTTAAGAAAAATCTTTCTTTGAAAACGGAAAAGGACTCCATTTTTGGTAATTTCCCTTGCTGCTTCCGATTCATGAAAAGCTGTGAGGGTGAGTCGGCTCTTTCTTTGTTTCCTTCTTCAATTAAAATATTTGATGAAACAATCGTTTGCGGTAAAAAAAAGAATATATCTCTCCTTACATAATATTCATTAAACTTCATTGTCTTTATCATAAGCGGCTGTCATTTAAAGTCAACTGCAACTGTTCTACACATAAATTCTGTCACGTCGTCTGCACCTGTTGTTTGATGATTTTCAATCGTTGCCGAAACTTTCTTAGACATTGAAAGTGTTAACATTGAGAAATGAACTGCCAATCTTTGAGCAAATGTTAGAAATTTGCATAACTGTGTTACCAAATAGTCGATAACTATATATTTAAGAGGTTGACAGATTTCCTACTAAGCGACAATTTAGCAAAAAAGATTTCCCTCGAGACAATACCTCAATTACTTTGGTATCAGTTTATAAAATCTCGGCATCTTGTCAGTCAAGCCATTCCCAAAAGCTTGAGCTCAAGCTTTCCAGTTGTTATGTTAAGAAAAAGAATCAGCATACGGTAGAAGAAAGAACGGGTACTTTTTAACAAAAATATTTCCTTTTTTCACATTTTTTCACAAACTCCTTCTATCGTTGTTCATAAGAAAAAGAAAAAAAACGAAGGGAGAAAGATGATGATGTAAACAACCTTTCAACTGGTTAATCAGTTACATATATGTTTACATCTTTTTTGCGTAACTTAATATTTCACGTAAACACGTGGAAGATGAGCCCACGTGGAAGATGTTACAAATTTATTTTAAACCATCAGATGCGGTGAGCGGTTGGGTTCTTTCATTTTTTTCTCTCACTCTCTCTCTCATTAGTATAATCTTTAAAGGATAGATTTCTCTAAACCTCTCTTAATCTCATTATTATTCTAATCCAACAGACTGTTCAATGAATCTTTTTGTTCAAGATATATTATAGAGTATAGGCTGTCTCTATGCTTATTATTCACTTTAATCATTTCGTTTGGATAGGCTTTTCACGCCTTTGCAAGCTGCTGTCAACCCGACAATCTTGGTGCCACAGCATCTTCTTAAGCTTCTGTCACTGATTTGTCGACAATAGAAAATCGGTCTACAGGGAATACTGACACAAACAGTTTCAAATATGGACAAACAATAAACTGGTGAAATCGTCTTAACGGAGACTGCTCCTGCATCATCTCTTCTACTTGACGGGTCATTCATTAGAGATAGAATTCAGAAGAAAAAAAAAGAATCAGAAAGAGAACACTCAATAAAGTTTTCATTTACATCTTAGAGAAGGGTCAAAGGTTTTTCCGCCAAAACGACGTTGACGACCACAACGACATCGAAACAACGCTGACGACGTCGTCGTCGAGATTGTAATCAGATGAGGATGGCGGCCGACTTTGCTTCTTTTCCTCGTATGGTCATCGAATTTTGTCATTTAAAAGAAAATATTGAACAAATGGAATTAACGGGGCTTTCGAATAACTTTCTTGATGTTTGCGAGATGCAAAGCAACTTCTCAGATTTTCATATGTAATTCATCTTAATCACAACTTCTGACCAGAAGCGCAATGGGAAGCCACATTTAATTTCCGTTGAAAGGCTCATGAGCCATCTGCCATTGCTTGCCGTAGGCTTTTTGAATTCATTTCATTTCTTTTCACACCTAAACAATCCACCCTATAAGGAAAGAAAGAAATGAATGGAAAAAGAACTTCTGTTATGAACACGAGCAATTCAGAAATAAAAGATATCTGAGGGTTGCCATTATAAAGCGTTAGTGGGTCAGAGCTTCGATATCTCTTCGTCATTTATATATTTGTGTCCATTTCGAAGTAACAATTGCAGAACAACAAAGAAAATTCAGAATATTAGAACGCTATATGATCAAAAACACACTGAAGAAGACAATGATCAGTCCAAAAGATAAGAAACATGATGAAACGGCCAATTGTCCTCTGGCGTTTTAAACTCGCAGTTGTTGGCAGAGAAAGAACTCCCCCATCCATGAAGTAACAGTTGAAAAACAAGTAGTGTTGTTATACCCCTTTCGATGAAAGAATGATCTTCGAGAGGAAGCTCTTTGAGCTTCAGCGTATATGGCGATGTATTACAAAAAATATATTATTCAGGTCAAACATCTTCTCAATCATAACGTCTTCCACTCTAACGGATTACGGTAACTCTGGTGAATGTCTCGTTCGATTAACTCTTTATTTCCTTCTTTCTTGTTTCTTCTACACATACTGTGTGACTGTTTTGATTCCTAACATGACATTTTGGATGTAAAACGACTAAATGACAGAGGGCCAGACGACGATGAGGGCCATCGTCTCAGCCAAAAGAAGAGGTTGTTTAAGACGGGACATGAAAAGTGAGAATACGTGTCACTGACGGAGATTATTATCTTTATTCCTGTCAATTTTTCCTTCTTCCAATGTGTTGCTTCTGTGTCTGTAACACATTCGGCGTACTCACTTTGGTACCCGCAGGCGCCTAATGACACCATGATCGACGACATCTCTGACCGTTTTCTAGTTCCGAACATCAAAACTTATTGAAATTTCATAGATAAATAAGTTTTTGTTAACATTTTTTAGTTTCTTAATAAGATTCTCGAGGAATCTGTAGCGAATTAAGCTAATTATCGTGGCAAAATGATGCCGATTAACATCAAAGGCTTTGAGATCTTCTATCGGATAGAAGTAACGAGAGCCGATTAGAATGCCAAAAGCATCTGAAGGCAGGTGAAGAGCCAAAAGCATGGCAGGTTAACGAGATAATTAGTTGACTGTATCTTTCTAGCTTCAAGCAAGAGAATATTTAATGAGAACGAATACAACTGCCTGTCAATCAAACAGTTCTCGGAACAGTTTCTCGCAATAGAACTTCAAAACAAATCTCTCAGAAGAAGCTGTAAATATGAATATTATTAAGAAGCCATAAATAGACTATTCAAATTTGTTACTCATCTTGTCACATTTTACTTCTGTTTGTCATCACCAAAAGAGCTGAGCCAGCTGGCACTGAACGAGGGAGAGGGCATGACACCAACAGTCGATGGCGAAGGGCAAAGATGAATAGCATTGGAAAACGAGAGTGAAAGCTGTGATTTGTACTTGAACCATATACAGTTCAGATGATAGAAAAACATCATTTTCTTGTGTTCTTCTTTATCTTTTATTACCCCACGGGTGTGCTGGAAACGGCTCCAACGACTTGCAAATGAGATGCTAAGCCATGACGAACATACAATCTGGTTGCCCATTTCTAACAGTCTTTTAAACAATCTGTGCTTCATTTGTCAATTTTTCAGCATGAAAATCATTGGAAATTATAGCCAGAAGGCACATAGTCCACTGAAATAGACGTGAAATTGATTTGGTTGACGTTATGAATTCAAGAAAAAGATTGACAGACGGCTTTCCCGATGTTCGAAGCTGAACACCATCTGATGACCGTTTATAAATGATTTTGAAAATCTGCAAGATAATGGCAAATGAGAAGATTCAATGTTATGTGAATTAGTTAGCCATTATTGGCTGTTTAGTTAGAGAAACAACAACTGACTGTTGGATTGAAGAGGAATGGTTAACCATGCGAGTATAGCTAACTCATTTCATTATTTTATGAAGCTCATAATCATAAAAACAATTTATTGTCTGAAGGGAAAGTTTGATAATTATCAGGTAAAACATCCACCAATGCTGAAGGCTCATCCATTCACCTAACTTTATGTCAAACAACTCATGTTTATAACCAATAAATCAGTTTAGTTGAAGTAAGAGTCAAGGTTAATGAAGAGGAAAATCAAGTATGGAAAGTGATGAGGTTGCTCAGAGGTCGATGACGGCCATATATGCCATCGGCACGTTAATTACTAGTCCCACTACTCTTCCATGACACTAGTTATCATGAAATTCCTTATAATTTAATAATTCAAAAGGGATCAACGGTTATTAGAGATAGGATCCTTTGTAAACAGGAAAGATAACACAACCACTCCGTTTGTTTTTTCCAGAAAATAAGAGAAAATAAGAGGTGAACGAGATCAAAGGTACCATTTTGTTCTTCACGTCCCATTTCAAACAGTTCATTTGGCTGCTTTCTTGCTTAGAGCATCAGCATCATGAGTAGACAATGAATACAGTAAATGATACTGTAGGATATATTTCAAAAGAACAATTTGACCTTTGAGAGACTTTGAAGCTGGTGGTGTGACACAGTTGGAAGCCGTAGTCGCAATGGTATGATCTTATAGCCGTCGGCTACGCACGTGTCGTCATGCTGCTCTGTTTGATGAAACCCGACCGTAAGATGTGGAATATCCATTACTCCCAACCTACATATCAAACTTATAATCTTTACTTTTTATATTAATTAATAGCAAATTAATGATAATAATCGTTTTCGGTAACAAATACCTTTGGTTGAAGACTTGTTGCGCTGGGTATGACCGAGAGAGCTTTGAGAAACTGATCTCATCTCTGAGGTTTCCGATCAACAGAACTTCCTGTGAAAATGACATGAATAGTGCAAAAAAAATGACATTTTGAAGATTGAGGGAAAATGAAACTTGCTTTCCATCTGGTATACAACCCATACCGGCTTCTTCTTTAAACTAATGTGATAATTGTGGATAATTAACTCGTAGACTCATCTGACACGTTGTTCCCAAGAGCATTTGGTCATCAATATTCTCACGTTACAGGCAAGTCTAATAGCTCTAATATTAGTATTCCACTGGGATAATTTCAGCAAAGATGAATATTAAGATAAATGAGCTTTAAAGCTTCAATTAACTTCTTCTAGAGAATGCAATGAGAAAGATGGTGCCTCCGTCATAAGGTGAGAGCTTAATCCTATAATCAAGTCTTCCAGTATGCAACCTTGAGCTGATGGTTCTCTTCTGTTTTTATTCTTAATATGGCTCTTCCGGCCACTAATCATCACATTTATAAATCGGATTACGGTAGTCAAGACATGGACTCTCCGGCCGCCCTTTGACTGATGATATCAGATCGACCTCGTCACTCAAATCCACTTTTGGGGTGTTGTTCTTACCGTTTTCATCGTCTGTCTCTTCATACCTTCCTGACCTTTCTCTCCTTCTAATACGCAGCTCTCTTCCAATCAAACAATCTCTACGTTTTTTTTAACTCTCCATAGAAGGACAAACCATTTATGTCATTAATCATAAATGAGCCAAAAATCACACATAAAACTCATCATCGATTCAACAGGTTAGATAATATTAGAAATGTTTTTCTTTATGCTTTGATGTGGGACAATTCACATCGAATCAGGAAATGACTTAGCTCAACATAGATCGCTTTTATGCGAATCTTCTGAGGGACTATCAGAAACAAGTTACAGACGAACTAATTGAAAATAAAAGCTCAAGTCCCTTATGCATTGGCACAAAGCACACATAGCAAGCATACGGGTGGTATTACAATTATTATGATAGAGAATGTTTGTAAGATGAATACAATCCGGAATCTTTATCCTACAGCAAAATTTTACGAGCTTACTCACAAATGCAAACAGTATGAAGCATACACTTTCAAAGATGGGAAAGGGAAACGCCTTGACGTGACACGTAATAAGTGCAGAAGCTCAAGCTTCATTCTATATCAGAAAAAAGTGAATCAAATCATAGAGTAATCCTTCTGTAGCTATTTCATATTCGTTTCTCAACATCATCGATTATTCATAATTGTTGTGAGAATATTTCAAAACTGTAAGGAGTGGTGGGGAGGGAGGTTGACTAGATGAGTAAGGGTAAAGTTAAGTGGTAAAGAAGAAAAGAATCTTTTGTTATAATAAACTATGATTCATAATTATTATCAGATAAGAGATTTTGAATGATTAATCAGAAGATGCTGAGAAGACTGCTGAATGGAATGTTATAGTCAATTTACAGCATCGTTTCCACGAAATATATTAAATGAATAACCAAATAATCCTTCAAAAGAGCTATACTTGAATGACAAAAAGGTTTTAATAGATGATTCATTTGAACCATACTCGTCATTGATAAGAAAAACCTTTTCGATAAGGTTAGGCAATACTTAGCTATAAAAACCGAAAGAACAGATTGAAGACATTCATTTCTGTCTACAATGAACCGAATGAGTTTAGCAATTCTGAGCTCTTTGCTCCTTTGTTCAACTCTCATTGCTCAAAGCTCTGCCATAGAGAGTAAGCTGAAACCACTAGTATTTCAAATTTAAATCCAATTTTCAGATGAAGTATATGTCATTCAAGATTCCCAACCAGGACATATCATCTCGGGTGTTCAAAATCAGACTATTTTGTTCACGAAGAATACAACCGCTGGAGTAAGAACTATCCTTCATTATTTTTTTTACGATCTCTTTCCAGATCAGTTTCAGCGCTGTCCTGAAAAATGGTAAGCAGCTTACCAATCTTCTGAAAGATTGCAACATTAAGAACGGTGACACCAATGCTCAGTTGATGAAGTGAGTGAACAAACTCATTTCCATTAATCCTTAATTAATTAAGCTTATATGACTTCGTGGCTCAAGGCATAAACACTAAGGTTTATGCCTCTTCAATTCTTGTTGATTGCTCAAAGGGTATTGCAACAAGCGCAGTTTTCCTAGTACAATCTCAGAAAGGTCAGAAATTGAAACGGTCCTGATATGAGCTCTTTCGTTACAGATCTTGTTATCTTCGACTCTTATAAGGTTTATGATCAAGTTATCCCACCTACTAACGCAGCAGGAAGCAAAAGCTCAATTGGAGTCACATTACTCACAACGGGTTTAGCTAACATTTATGTTGTCAGCGCTAAGTTCACTGTAAGCTCATACAAACCACGATCTTTTTTGAAAAAAATGAAATTGCAGTCTGGCCAATCATTCAGATACGGCTTGGGTACTCCAGACCTTGCTCCAAAATATACTATCAACTCGACCACAAGTTTCCCATATTTTATTCCACAACATCAACTAGCAACAACTTTCTACTTCAACGGGGCTGACTTAACATACGACATCCGTGGAGGATATATTCCTCAAAACTGCTCCGGAACAACTATCATCGATCAAAACACATTGCAAAATAATTCTTTCATGTTCCCAAATATTGGAAGTTATTACCAACTGTACAATACCCAACTTGCTTGCCAATTCAAGGTAGAACGGAGATTATGCGAATCAGTAACAAGTCTATTCTAGATCGTCACCAAGAGTTTGGACTATATACCACAAATTGAAATGAATGGATACTTGGTATCAAACACCATAATCTCTGTCACATCAAACAATGGTTTCGGAATTTATTATGCTCCGTAAGTTGAAACATCAGTTTCTCTATATTTCAATGTATTCTTTAAGAGTTGGCCTCTTGAATGAAAATGATGATTATCGTGGAAGCACTCTCGCACCTATCTATTATTTGCCATCTGATGGAGTTATTGACATCAATGCTTTCGGAGCCTCAATTGGCTTTTTCAGCTTGAAGGTCTCATTTGTACCAGCTAGTAAGAATTCTGCATAATTACCTTGCGATAATCTCAATCTAATAGGTGATAGTAGATCTAATTCTCTCAATGTGTTCGCTAATACATCAAGAGTTACTCTTGAAAGCGTGTCGGCTTCGCAGTACCAATTAAGCTCTTCCAATGCTGGGGTAAAAATTAAAACTTGTTTCACAGTTTCATGTAATTCTTAAGGCTCCTCAAATATCTTTGAGTCTTGCTCCTGCCAATACAGCATCTTACTATACCGGTAGTTATGATAACTGCTTCTTGAACATTTTGAGAGACAAATCACCACTCAGCACCCCCGTTGCAAGATACAGGTAATTGATTTACATATGAATAGTCTTCAACTCCTGAGTTAAGTTTGCGTCAATTCGCTGGTATGACTAAGCCAATCTACTTCCAAAATGGTGTTATCAAATGTCAAATTCCAACACAAATGTACGGATATATGCTTGTTAGGCTGAACACTGCAGACAGTAAGACACCATTACTAGATTCTGATTTAAAAAAAAACATTTAAGATTTCAACCAATTCGCCTCAGCCATGGCTCGTATTGGTGTGGATCAAAGCACCAGATATAACATTCCTCAAATCAACTCAACATCTCTCACTAATATCATAACTATTCTTGTGGAAAATACAAATCAAGAAAGTACTCTGAACGTCATTGGCGGTACAGCTGTATGATTTTACAAACTGATATTGAAAGATAAATTGAATTTTATAGGATTCACCCGTAGCTATTCACACTGGAGGTGAATCCGCACCAATCACAGCGACTGTTCATAGAAGTGATCTTTCGAGACGAACTGCAGGAAGGATCATCACTTATGAAACCCAACCAATGGTTACTTATCTGGAAATCAGTGTGACCAATTCAGGTAATTCGATGAAACAGCTTATTCTCAATGAATAACATCCTCTTTTCCAGGAAAAACAGTCATTCTCAATAGCATGTTGCTTTTGGTTGTTGGATACTTCCTTCATTAAGCAGTACATTCAAAGCCTTTCCATTTGAATCTCATGAACATAAGCAGAAATTCGAGAATGACGATATAGTCACATTACTTATTTATTTCATATGAACTATGTAAAGATGAACAAGGATTAATTCCAAGAGATTTGCTATCATATCTATCTTTGCCTTTTTTTTTCTTCAAAAATGTACAATATGATTATATAATGTAAGATACGATTAACTCCCGTTAATAATCTATTATAAGATGAAAAAACACATAAATCATATACTAATTAAACTTATTCGCGCATTTTATAATCAATTAACTTCTATATTTATATCAGTTCAATGATGAAAGAGTCGAAGTCCAGTGTGTATAAGTGTTATTCCATGTTCATTACAAGCATCAATGATATCATCATCGCGCACAGATCCACCAGGATGAGCAATGTATTGCACGCCAAACTTCAATGAAACTCACAGTTAAGCTTTTACTACTACACTTTTTCTCCTTCTCTCTCTCTCTCTCTTTTTTCTTTCTCAGTAAAAAAGACTACGGCTTACGGATTAACTTGGAATGCAACCGCTCTGTGTGCATGCGAAAGAAAAAGAAACAAATGAACGTGAGATTGACTTTTGACGTCACTATCATTCTACGAGCACTAAGTAATTCAATCTCTAGCTGTGCGGAAATCACTCCGTAAGACAATGTCCTTTCAATGTTTCACTATCCAAAAATTAAAAAAAAAACTAACTTGTTTCGCACAATCCACATTATCCCGAAATGGCAAAAAGGCATCTGAGCTCATCACGATTCCATTTAATTTGTTCATCCATGCTCGCCTTTCTTCCTAAAATACAAAAACTATTTCATTAACTACATTACATTTTTTTGTTGAAGAATTTTAATTTCCGTGTTCAGAGAAATAGATGATTTTGGTAATTCGACACAAATTTGTTTTGAATGCTCGCACAAGCTGATAGTAGAAAGTAAGAAAGTAACTACCTCATTCAAGGGTTCGACCGTTTCGCTGAAGTACTGTTGCCATTGCTCTAGAGGAATCTGGAAATATGAAATAGAAGCTGATTACAAGAATGAAACAATACCTCTCTTTCCAGTACTCCAGTGCAAAGCACATCTATAGCATTAGAACGTTCAGAACGCTTGATACAAGGCTTCCAGGGAAGGGAAAGAACAACCGGATGTTGTCTCAGCCACCTTTAAAAATGAAAACTAAATGTTGAGCGTAATATAAATCTATATTTAAAGCTTTTCCAGATATATATATATATATATATATATATATATTTTGAGGGGGTTGAATGTATTGGTAGTATTTCCTGTCTAATTGGGGAAAAATAACACGCGACAATTGAAAGATAACGATTTCATTATCGATGTATCCTTTCTTTCTATAAAATATTTCTAATACTTCTGACCATCAGGAAATGATGATACCGCGTCTTTTTCAGTCAGCTTCTAACAATCTATACAATTATTTGATCTTTGATTAGTAAAAACTGTCACAAGGAAGAATTATGATGAACGGAAACAAACAACAAGACAACTTAGTCTCACTGATTAAGACGTCTCTCATTTATACTTCTGAATCGTTTTCTGACACTTTAAACGATGATTTTTCATTTCTCATTGATATTATTTCTGACCGTTCGTGATTTTCAAAATTATTCACTTGAAAACATCAGTTTGTAGAGATCAAGATATCCCACCAAAGCTCATTTTGAATTGTTTTCATTTTCCAAACACCATTACTAACTAGTTCACCACAACATTTGGTTGGTAATTTGAGAGCTTAAATTGATTTACTTGAGGTGGAAATTGGGGTGAGGGAGATGGTGGGTGAAGCTGTTTCAACGAATGGTTCATCGTTTCAAATTATTCTCTTTCATGAAAGTACTGAGATCTTTTGAAGTACGAAGAAGCCATTCACATATCTTAAGTTTCCCTTGTTTTTCGAACTATTCATCATACACATCACTCAAAAGAACTTAAAATCCCAAATGGAAATAGTCAGGCTGAAGTCTTATGATAAGCACCTTTCAACTGAAAAATGATGGCCGTCTCGATTATAGGCACTTCATCTTCCATATTTAGTAAACTCTATGACGTCATCACATCAGATGGCCATCTTTAGCTACGTCACGACTCACAAGAATTTGTTGAGAAACGAAACAGAATGAGGACGTGCCATCCGACAGGACCAGACCTCAAGCTTCTCCATTCAAATCATCCTTTCCTCATCTTCATTTTGTTTCGTCATCAATCGTGCTCTTTCGGCTTCATTGAGATACTCTCATCCTTTGAACCTATCGTGTTAGGACCAGAGGAGAAAACACGAAAAGCCTGAAGAGAGGCGGAGTCCAAGCTATCCTTTCTCTTTCTACCACTCGTTTCAATTCCCAGTCTGGCTATATATGGAAAGCCATTGTCGTCTATCTCACTGTTTTCACACAATTTGTTTTTTTTTCAATTATAACTGCACTTCTTCAGATTTAACGGCATTCGGCACACTCTTCTCTGGGGTGTACCGTCAATAGCCTACAAAAGAAGATAATAACATTGGATTCAACAATTCGATTGAACGAAGTAGCCGAAGGGTTATCAAGTTCAACAAGGATTCATTGATATCTTATAATAGACCTTATTCTTCGTTAATTTAGTAAGTGCCCCATCAATTGGCGTCTCCAACAGATAGAGAACGAGTTCTATCTTTTTGAAATATTCCCCGAAACATTTTATGGTTATCAATAATAATGACCATAAAACTAATATTTTTCTAAGAAGTGGGTGCACAACGAACTTTGTGTGCACTCTCAAAGATTTCTTTCACCATCTCACTGAAAAAGCATTTTGCAATTACAGCAAATGAGTACTCCACCGTGATCAATGTTGCGTCAATTAATCTTTTTATTTGCTGTGCTCAACTTCGAGGTCCAACCTCTTTTGATGTTTGAGAAGGGTAATACCAAGAGACGCGCTTTTTAAAAGTTCAATTGAAACATTGCTTCAGTGGAAAGTGAAAATGCTTGTCTTCTCGCTATGTGTGATGCTGATTCTGGGTGCGTTCCGAAGGGATGCTCAATAGATCAGAATGAACGAATTGGTTGTGGATATTTTCGATTAAATATATACCAATTTAGAGTGAGTCAATAACCTAGAGTGATACATTTCATTAATTCTATCTGAAGCAATGCTATCAACCCGGACGTCAAGATGATGAAGATGAGGAAACAGCTTGGATTAAATGCTCTGAAGACTATGAGTGCTCAGCGCAGTGTATAAAGGTATTAGCCATGAAGAGTTTTGTTCTTAACACAACTTCATGATGAAGACTATAAGTGCTCGTTACCGTGTGAAATGCTATGGAAAATCTGATTGTGAAGCCATGGCAAGAATCCACGATGGTGGAGCAAATGGTTGCCGCGACAGGTGAACGATTTCGTTAAATACATTTCTTAGAATTCTTATTGAAAGAAGGACTTCAATTAAATCTCAAAAATGACATTCATTGAAGTCTTTTGTTCAGAAACACGGCATTCTATTGGAAAAAAGTTCGCGACGCATGCGGAAGTGCTTGTAGTGGAAGCTTTATCACTCGTCACAGACGGCAATTATTCTGAAGACATCCATAGATGTCATTTTTTTCACAAAAAAAGAGTATGAGCTCTAAGAAGAATGATCAACGAACAGTAAACGATATCTATGTAACGCTACTGTTCCACATTCCTATTGATGATTTATAATATAAAATGATGATGATGAAAATAAAACTTGCGAAGCTTTATAGTCTTAAATAACTTCTTCAGCATCATCCTTGTCATGGGACTCAAACAAAGCAATACGCAAGCTCTCATCAACCAAAACATACGGAAATTTCCAATACAAATTCTCTCTGAGCTATGAGTTCAAATGGCCTTAGGCTACAGCTATTGGTTCCAAGCTTCCTATTTTAGAAGCTTCTATTTTTCTATTAGGAATAAAATCGAAGTATCACAACGATTATCCAATAGAATATTCCATTTGGAGCATAATAAAATAATAATCTCTCTCTCCCACCACAGAAAAAACTGATAACGAGTCCAAGTAGAAGACAGAAACGAACTCACCAATTGGCAGCTTTATCTCCAGCTAGACGAGTGCAATGAATTCGAGATTGTTGTCCTGCTCCCATCCCAATGACTTGACCACGATGAGCAAAACAGACAGAATTGGACTGAGCATATTTCAAAGCAATCGTTGCAACTATTAGATCATCCAAAGCTGTTTTAGTTAACTGGAAAAAGCTTACAATAGTCTGTTATATCAGAACTAATTTGAAACAGTTACTGCACAGATGATCTTTCCAAAACTTTTGAAAAAAAAAAAATAACGGAAAGAACCATGTAGACGAGTGCGTAAAGCAATAACGTAAACCGAATGAAGGAAACTAACATTTCTATGCTCTCCAATAACATTCTTGAACGTTTCTGAGTTTATTATGGCGTTGTTTCGTTTTTGACGGAGCTTCAGCCCAAAGACAGTTCGTTCTTCCGTCTCAGTCGGGATATAATTAGGATTAATCTAGAAAAATCTTTTTGCTCTTTCTCCAGATAATGAAAATACTTTTAACACACAGTAGTTCCCATTCTTTTTCTTTGCCAGCAAAGCTAACGCCCCAGGTTCGTAATCTGGCGCTACAACTCCATCAGATACTTCTCTAAAGCACAAAGAGAATGATTAAAAGCATTAAGGTTCCTAGCAGACCGATTGATGATTTTAGCAGTCAGTTCGTCACACTTCTCTGATAAAGCAATGAAGTCGCCAAAAGAAGACATTCTATCAGCACCTAAATAGAGAAAATTATAAAAATAAATGTCGTTTCTCACATAATCAACACAAAGTAAACGATAAGAATGCACAAACAAGAAGGCCATGCTTCACACTATCCTATATAAAAGCATACAACATAGAAGGAAGCAAAAAATACAAATAGAAAGCTAAAGTATTTAAGCGGAACAAAGTTGAAACCTTAGGTAATAAGCTTACCAACTATGGCGAGCATTTTATGCTCGTTCTCCTTGTCACCTATCCATTCTTGTTCTCAAAAATTAAAGAAAACCCATGGATTTTGTTTCAAAGGATGAGATTAGAAATGATGGCAGCAGGAAAAAAGCGGAAAATGATAGAGACAGGACATTGGGATTGAAACGGACATTCGAATTAAACGGTTGGACAAGCATTACATGCTATGTGAGTGCTAAATCTCAAACATTCCTTGTGGAAATCTGATTTTTCAGAAGAAAAACAAAGAGAAGGAAGAGTTATAGAGGTGCCAACAACAAACTTCAATTTATACTTACCTCGAGCTCTTGCATAAGCAGCAGCGAGAGAAGGTTTTCTCATTTCTAAGGTCAAGTCTGCTACCATGCAGGAATGTTGTTCAGATTCATTCAGAGGCAATCCGATAGCAGCTCCTACGGAAAAAACAAATCTAAGAACTCATAAATCTTTGTGAGAAAAACCTGCAGGTGAAACATGCTTGAATGAAGCAGCAGCTGGCATATTAGTTGCATCAGATAGTTCTTTTACCAATTGCCAGCCATTTAATGCATCCAAAATATTTATGTAACCCGGAGCTCCATTGAGAACTGGAAAAAAAAATTTCCTAGCGAGACGTAGAAATTATGCGAAACATGATTGATTACATGAATTGATGACTTCCTCATAACGAAGGAAAGATGAACAAATAACTTTTGATTTTTGTTTTTCAATCTTGACAACGTTGAAGCCAAAAAATCACTTCCGTCAACTCCTTTCAAATCTTAACCTATCATTCTTTCTTTCCTTCATCATTTTTTACTTACTTTCTCTCTGAAAACTATGCAACTCTCATCCCATCTCTCATTCTATTCTCTTTTTCTTCCTCAATTAATCTTTTTGGCACAACATCGACGAGACCAATAAGGATTTATGAGGATTCACAAAGCCCTATAGAAGTAAAGGACAAAATCTTTTTTGGTCATTTTTTCCAAAAAAAAAATTGAATCGTCACAATCGACATTTCGTCAATTATGGAATGAGTGCTTTCGTACCTTTTATGGGCATCTCCTCGTTGACGGAGTAAAATTCAGCGTCCGGAGCCTGATGAGGATTCGTCCCTGAAACAGGAAAATTTCAGAATCAATCGAAGAAAAGAAAAAATTGAAATTGAGAATAACAGTCTGCCATTTCAGTTTTTTTCCATGATCTCATTATCATAAATGGTGTTTGAGCACAGTTAGTGAGGGAGATGTCCTATTATCAAAACGTAATTGCAACATCACGCATGTACAAAAGATTATGAGAGAAGCATGGTAAATCATTGAATTGGCTCTGAGAGAAGAATTTAATAATTGTCTCAGGCTTACCGTATCTTAATCCGATTGATCTACTTCCCAGCTGTTTTCGCATGTAACCACTGATGGCTTCGTCGTAAGAAGAAGTATGTTCGAAGGCCTGTAAAAACACTGTTCAAGCTGAAGAATACTTTATTTATTCGCTTCTGATCTTAATGTAACAAATCCAATTGGACAGTCACTCTAGTATTCGTTTTCGTTTTCCAATCCAACAGAATAACAACCGAAAGAGTTTAAGCAATTCTTAGGTGAGCGAAGCCGTTCATTCAAACAAACTCGATTTCCTTATTCACTCAACTAACTATACATTTATAGAACTATCAACACATTTCAAACATGGAATAATATTTTTTTCGTTTATACACTCTAACATACACATACCCTTATTACCTTTGACGGGTAGAAGTTACCGCGACGATAAATTTGGTCAAATAGACGAGAGTTAGACTGAGATCGATGTCTCGAATCATCAGATATTGTCGGCTGCAGCCGTTTGTATGCCATTGATGAAATTCGAGACATCTTCAGTTCTTATCAAAGCCTCAAAGAATTTTAGACATAAAAGATGTATTGACGAAATGGACTGTAGACACGAGGCTGATACAGCGATTCAGAAAACTGTCATGATCAAGATGATGATTCAGAAGTTGATGACAATAAATTCAGAGCTTGTGATGAATCCACTAGAAAGGCAGAAGTTGGCAGTTGTATCGAGAGCTATGTATGGCAAGGGGCGTCGCAGTTGGAATTTAGGAACATAGGCTTGACTCGATAGAGAGAGAGAGAGAGAGATAGAAAGAGAAAGAGAGAAAGTAAAAGAGGACAGCGAAAAAGAGAAGACAAGGAATGAATACTGGAAACAATGAAAATGGTAAAGAGAAATGCAGGCAGAAAGAAAAATTAGGATAGGATGGAACAACAGGATGATGCAACTACAAGAGAGGAGAGGTGGACCATAAATGAAAATAGCTTTTCAGCTGTCCTCATCCTTCACTTCACCACTTTATATTCAAGCCATGTGTAGAATCTCTCACATTTTAACTCAAATAATGTAATTCACTCAAAATACTCGACAATTTAATCTTGTGAGTGAATGAATGACAGAAGCTTTTCAAAAACTTATTGTAAACGAAAGATCAGCATTAGGGTTGCCATTAAGATTTTCTTCAGAAATGGTGAAACTCATATGTGTCATCTAAAAACAAAGATGCTCATCAAGATGATTCTGTTTTTTTAATTGAAAAACAAAAACAATCATCATTTTCGAAATTACGTTAGTCGAGAGCTTCTGTCTACAAATATTCAATACATATGAAGTACATTTAGAAGCAACAATACGTTGAACAAATCGCTCTCCGGAAGATTTTTTGTCAGCGTTACACATCTCCGATTAAATATGAATAGAACGATTTGGAGAGCAGCGCTACTTTTGTGACATGTCTGAGTGAAAATCACGTGAATTCAAGTGAACTATAATCAGTTCGAAATTGAATTTCAATTTCCAACATCTGTTTTTCTACTTCTCATTTTCTTCGAACAACTTTCCATTTTATTCGAGTAAAAAATCAACCCAAAGAATGATTCAACACTAAGATCTATGACTAACTAAGTATAAATTGAAAGTTCACAGATCATTCGTTTCATCTTAAAAAGGAGGAAAAGCTCGGTGATGAAAATGCTCATTGGTCAATTTAATGTCTCATACGCTAACTTTTCACTTTGAGATATGAGGCGAAGAAAAAAGTTTGTTTTTAATAGAACGAAAGTAAGTGGAAACTGGGAGAAACGAGAGCTTCTATCATTTCCAAATTTTTTCAGCATTACGGCAATTTTTTCCACATCATCAAGCTGATGATGTGCTCCACGATGACCATCTATAGTCATTGTTGCGATCATGATGAAAAGAAAAAACAATTGGTTTCCTCGAGCGAACCAAGAGATCAAGTTCAGACCTTCAAACATACAACTTTGGTGGAAACTGCAACTTTCGCCTGACTTGTAACATGAAAAACAACAGACATTTAACGAATTTTACTCTATATATTGCCCATAAAATGTAATGCAGAGTTCTTATAAAGAAAACTTTGAAGTGAAGCGAAATCTGATGGGGACTTTCATTCAGAGAAGCAAGCTATCTCACCCATTATCATTCAAATTCAAGTAATAGAATTCAAGATATTGGTGTGAGTAACCGAAAAAAACTTGGAATAAATATACAACAAGATGTTTGTCTGAGGACAACTTATGAAGAACGAAATGTCACACACGCTCAAAAAAACAAGAGAAACTATAGGAAGAATGTCAGTAAATTGCATGAAAGACACACCATAGACTGAAGGCTCTCGTTTTGTGTTTTTTTTCATTTTCTTGGCTAAAATAACCGTGATCTTCAAATTCCCAAAATAAGAGCTTAAGAAAGACCACCCAATAATGACTCTGTACTTGAGCACGTCAAAGATGTTCCATAATTTTATCTTTCAAAAATATATTAATTCATCCCTTCTTCTTCTTCAAACCGAATGATCCCGGTTGAACCCATCACTACTGACAACGCAGTTGTAAAAAGACAAACAGAGAAATAAGATTATTCTGAATGAGGCCAGAGTTTAGAGGAGTTAAGGCGAAAGAACAATTGACACATGTAATTCAGATAGAAAGTGATGAGTTGACCTATAAAACTTTATGCATTTTGCCCACATTCCGAGGAAAAGCTTCTCAGTCTACATCGCTCTCAATCATCAATTGTCCAATTCAGAATCTCCGTCTATCTCCTTCGCATGTAGCTTCAAATCTATCTCTCACCATCTCTCTTGACACGTCTATGGATTTAAATTCAAAAAAAAAGTGACAAGCTGTTTCCATATTTAAAGGTCACAACTTTTGCGATTACAACTCTAATTGGTTAGTTCACACAAAAAATCACTTATAGCGAGAATTCCAGAACTAGTAAAGTAAAAATATATCATTGAACTCCATAGAAGGTACTTTGGCTATCCAACCAGCTTTGAAAACAGCACAAAGCCAGCATCTCATTAAGGAAACAAAATGGGATTAAACATGAAAGCTCAATAACATCTTATACTTCAATCTATTGCTGAACTAAAGCTGAATTTGTGTTCGGTGATATCTTGACAAACGTCTTATAAGAATGCTTTGAACTTTTTTGAGTTGCAGTTACAACTTTATTTCATTGGAGATGATAGTCAAGTATCTTGAGCTGCAAGCCGTTTCCAATTGAAAAAAGATGATTCAACTGACGTCAACTAAATAAGATGGGAATGACGACCATCTCCTTTGACGAGATTAAACGACTTTTAGGTCCACTTCTATCAAACAACTTGCGAAGCACATGAAGTTACTACACAGAGGTAGATTAAGATTACTTTTGTAAGAAAAGAGAACCTCGAACCAATTCTAACAAATTATTTCTTTATTCTCTGGTCTCACTATTTCTACGCTAACTCAGATAATGAGAATTACGAATAACTAACTAACAAGCTATGACTGAATACTTCACAGCTTTGCTCTCTGCTTCAGGGATATCTCTAGAATTCATCCGAAAAACTTTCTATTAAACCCTTGACTCGTTACGTCATATTATAGTCCCATAGGACGTGAGTTATGTTCTCGTGATGAATTGTCTCAAACTCTTAGCTCACTGTCTCAGCTTCTGTTTGAACATTCTAAGTTATTCCCTCACACTCCGATTTGCAAATGATAAAAGCTAAACGCACCTTCAATGCTAATTCTTTTCTGAGCGCAGTTGTAACACCCTCGTTCTTAATCTGAAAAGGCAGAAAGTTAGAATTACAAGACGAAAACTTTGAAGATGTTGTTGAAAACAATCGACTAGTAACAAAAAGCGCGACAGGAAATTCTTTTCTTGATAGGAGTCGTAGTTCGGAATGACGTGAGAAAAGGGCTTGAACAGATAGACGAACAATCTCATGGGGATAAGAAAAGTTGAATATAGACATATAACAAAAAAGATTTCTAAATAAACAAAATCTCACAGAATTCATGCAAAATTTGGCAAAGTTTTAAGCGAGTTAACAAAATATAGCATTAAGCTCTAATGTTCAAAGTAGTGAAAACAGAGCATTGATGTTTCAGAAATTGTTAAAAAAACAAAAAATACAATAAAACTATGAGTGAACATCAAAAAATGTTTGAGAATTCTCACGCATCGAAAACCTTAAGAGAAAGAAGCCTTATTAGTTATTCATCAGATAACTCTTAACTGTTTTAGACCAATTGAATTAATAGAAAAAAATTAATACATGAAGCTTTGAACTGAAAACGAGGAGTGGCAAGCAGTCCCACTTAGCCATTTAAAAAAAATGTTGAGGATGCCGAACGAAAAAAAGCTTCTTAGGATGAGCAGCAGTAAGTAAGAAATGCCAGAAGAAGCAAACAAGAAAAAGTTTTTATCCAGACTTTTGTCAATTGTCAAGATCTTTACTTGGAATGAGAGAGGAACACTCTATTGCAAAGATATCAGAGATATTGACATGAAGGAAATTAAAACTTTTAGCAAAAAAAGCGTACTAAGACATTCACTTAAACTTCTTCGAAAATCCCACGGGCATAACTAAACTTTTAACTGAATATCCGGATTAAGTATAAGCTTAGAAAAAGAAAAAAATCTTAGGCTTTCCATAACTACGAACTCCCAAATAGAAACTCCCGGCACGAGAGATAAAACTCCTATTTCCACTTCAAAAAACAATTCCAATATAGTCACAAGCAGCGTGCGAATTTCAACAACTCTATTATCCTGCATCTTCTCTGTTTCAGTGTATTAGGAGATGCAATTTAAAACTTTGAATATGATAAAAACCACTCACTTCTAATATAACTCTTTTGTAATCAGAAGGATCACAAAGTATTGTGACACGAGAATGATTTTTCGCAGCTGCACGAAGAAGAGCAACTCCACCTGTAAATAAGAATGAGATTGAGGAAACAAAATATAACAAAACCTATGTCAATGTTCTCGATTGCTTCTTCTTCCGAACAGTTTGGCTTCGCTACAGTTGCTTGGAAAGGATATAAGTTGCAAATAACGAATGAAACGTATTCAAAGCCACATCGCTGAAAATATTGTGATGAAACAAATGGAACAAAAGTTTTGAAGTCATCTGTGAGTTTTAGATTCATGAACAGGACAACTACAACTTGCAGAATCAAAAAAAAGGAAATGTTTCATATAAATGAGTGCAAGAATGGCGAAAGACGGAATATTACAGAGAAACGATTTTTGAATAAGCGCGATGAAACGTAATAACAAGGAACATTTTGGCAGAAAGAAACCGGAAGAACATCGGTAAAAGCTGTTGCATAGTGTATGGATCTCCGAAATAAAAGATTGACTGACCGAATTTCCATCATAGTTGACTAAACTGAAAGACAAAGGTCGCTTACAGTAGGCTAAGCAAGGCCGGAAAAGCAGATTCCGGATAGGAATTAAGGAAACTTTTTCACGAGGCAGTCCTAAGAAGCATTATATGAACCGATTTGTTCTTCACATAACTTTGGAGAGATATAAAACAAAAATCATATCAAAAAATTGGCATTAAAAGCTCAGAATGTTCTCACAATTTAAGAACAACGCGACTTCCCCAGGAAGACTGCTAAACTTCTATCTATGCCCCAGGGAAGAACTGGAAGATTTCACATGCAAAATTTTTACAAAAATTGAAAACAATTCAGAAATATCTGTTTTTGACAAGAACTAAGAGATCTTATAAACATAGTCACTTTGGACGGTTGTTTCTAAGCTTCAAGAAGAATAATGAAAATATCTACTTTTTTTCGACCAACATCTCATGAACAAAATACGGAGAAGCTTAAAATGTCATTCCTTTTCATGAGAGCAAAATACGAATTATGAGGAAAAACTCTGCCTCAGACTCACGAATTTGCATGAGAACAGATGAAAAGCAAAGATACTGCTCCTGGGTTAGATGTATTCTAGAAAACTATTAAAGCTTCGCATCTTCATATTTCTGGGAAATGCCCTTGATGAATGGCAAATGACCAGTGAAGAAAGATAGATAAACGTGTCAAAAGGGCAGCCGATGCTCCCGAAGAAAGCCGAAACGTCTGATGTTACGATCTTATTCAATTTGGTCACAAGGAATGGAGATGTGAGATATTTTGAGAAGCGACAAGTTAGGTATTATTCGTAAAAACTCTCCAAAAAAAAGTTCGCAAGCAACAAAAGAAAACAATACGAGCAAAGATACATCTCATATGCTTTATGATGTCGCGTTTTTCCGTATTTCTTTTCGCTTGGGCATGAACTGTGATGATCTAGCATTCGCTCTCTACTTCTACAACCGCACTAACACTCATGCCATACTCCAAAAAAACGACCCCATGAAGTTTCAGCGTGTTGAAAATAACATACAAAATTGATTGACTCACCTCCATATCTCTCTTGTCGGTCTCTACATCGCGAGCCAGGATTCCCCCATGAACAGCAGGGTGAAGAGTTTTCACTCGACCACCCAACATTTCTTGAAATTTAGTAATGTCCGAAACATCTCTGAATAAATTCTTAAAACGGGGTCTCTTCAAAGTTATTGTACTTAACAGGAATGGTATTATCTCTCAAAAATTGAGCAGTACCACCAGAAGCTACAAGCTTGATTCCACTTTCATGTAGCGCAGAAGCTATTTCTTTTAAACCTGTCTTGTCTGACACAGAAATAACCGCTGAAAACAAAGACTAGAAACTCAGAAACAACATCTGCCTCAATAGTAAATCAGCTCTTTTTCCACTCGACAGAACCGCAGAAGACTCTGACTTACCCAATGTTTCTTTCATTTTTCTTAACTATTTGTTCGTTTTAGTTTGAGCGAAGATCTAAAACATTAAATCATAAAACTTTATAAAAATGGAATAAGTCATAAGCACAGCAGTGAGAGTAAAGCGAAATGCTGAAGGCAAGACACATTTAGGAATAGAAGAGAAATGGAAAGTGATACAATAATTATTACATCTTAGATCTCCTTATTAACTTTATACTAGATATCTAAATATGGCAACACAGTTGTCATAATATAAAAATGTAATGTTGACTATTAAATCATTATGTACTATTAGTGGGAAAACAATGTAACTAGTTGGCACATAGCTTTAAAACTATTACGTAACTTAATGCAAGCGATCCAGCAATGTGTAATGAAGTTGCTACTCAAGCTGACCAATTGGAGCATTTTGCAGCCACAAGCTATGCAGGAAAGTGTACAGTTTCTCGCTAACAGAGACCTTTAAAGAATCATCTTTCGGTAAAGACAAAGAGTGATACGCAGTTCAATGATCAACACATACGATGCATTTGTTTTGAATTAATCAGTTTTGATTGATAATCAAGACTTTGTTTTCGATAGTACATATAAAAATCGACTGATACTATGCCCGCAAGAAAACTAGTAGAAAAGCGGCGAAAAAAAATTGTGCAAATATCTCTAGGAGTAATGGAAAGATATATGGTTCAAAAGTTCTACAGTTATCTTGATCTATTGAGAGACCAGAACCTGACAAAATCAAGACCAAATAATCAAAAATGCAAAAATTATCGACCTCGAAACTCTGTTGTTCTGAGAAGATTTATAATGCGATCATTGAACTTCAGATCATTTAACAACAAAACTACAAAATACTAACCTTGTATGGAGTCGGGTTCAAATACCGACGATGGTCTTTACGAAGTCTGTAAATTGAGGAATTGACTCTAGCCTGAAGAAAACAGTTGTCAAACTATATAATGTGCCATATACCTTAATAGCATCTAAAGAAGGCAGTTCTTGTAATAGCTTCCCATTAGACCAGAAAAGTTGTTGGAGTGGCTCGACTCTACTAGCTATGACCAGTGCTCTTTTCGACTCCTGAGGAAAGCATTAAAAAGTTTATTATAATGAACACTCACTTCGAATGGATGTCGACAAAGAATTTGTTCATTTGCTTTTGGAATTTCTTCATCTTCTAGAGTCATCAGATCCAGGATACTGTATCCAGATTTGCCATAAACGCGATAACATTTCTTTCTTCCCGGTATGGTGATTTTCGACACTTCCTGGCTCAGTTTAATTTTTGGTTGTCCACTAAGGGCGACTAACTAGAAAAATGCTAACAATGGTACGACTAAGTGCAGATTTCGAAGTGAAAACATTCATATTTTACACTAAATAATCACCTTAAACACACAGCCAAGAGCGGGTTGCTTCTGGCATGTAACGAGATGAGTTCCAACACCGTAGGCATCGATTTCATGCTCTTGCTCGTTTAATGACATGATAGTTTCTTCGTTTATATCATTTGAAGCTACGATAGTAAGACTTGCTACCCATGCGTATTCGGGTTTCCTGGAAAAAATATCAAAAGTGGAGATAGCATGTTAATTAACGTACAGTTCAGCCACTTTTTTGAATTTCGATCGTACTTCCTTTGATAAATAGGATAGATCCCCACTATCAATGCGACAGCCAAGGGATTTGTAACCGATGTCATACAGAGCGAGAGTTACGGCGAGGAAATTGACAAGCCCGCTTCTGAAGAAAGAAAAAGTAACAACGAACAAGAAAGCAACCGAACGCCGCAAACTCGAACTAGTAAATGATGCTCACGAGTAAGTCACGGGAAAAAAAGTAAACGTGAAGAAGTTTTAGCATACAAAACGTGAATGAGCGTCGGTTTCGATTAATTAGCATAAACGTTCAAGTCATCTACCTGAGGACATCATAGGTGTCAATTAAAGCTAGGAATGAATCAGGAAAAGCAATGGCATAAGCAACGAATGCCGCTAACTCTCCTTCGTTAACTTCAGACTTTGCCACACCCCAATGAACCTAGAAGAATTGCATTTCATTATCATTTCAAGCTGAAAACTAACGCTATCCATGATGAAATTACGCTTTTTTTGACTGTTTTCGAACAAATCAATCTCAGAACTACAATCTTTTGATTTCAAAACTCGGACCTACGATGAATAAGTTTAAACTTTGGAACTCTGCTATAATTTCACTTTTAACTCTTCAGGCTTTGAATATGAGCAGATGAAGGAGTGAGCTTGAGTTCCTTTCACCGGAATTCCATACAGCTTCCCAGCTAGAACATTGCTGGTTCCATTGAAACCTAGAACGCAGTTGCATACATCCAGGTTAAGATATCGAACCTCCAATATAACAATATTTGCTAGCTGTTAATCCTCCATTAGGTCCCTGAGCTCTTCGAAGTCCGAATTCAAGCATCTGCATCCTATCACCTGCAACCTGAAATATCAATATGGAATTCTGTTAAACAGAATCCTATTTACTTGTCTGAATCTTGCGGCGTTCGTAGCTACTAAACTAGCGTAATTGACTAAGTTTAAGAATGTGGTTTCTAGCAGTTGGCAGATAGCTAAGGGTCCCTCGATAGTTATGAGCGGAACCTTAGGGAATACAACAGAACCTTTAACTGAAGGTGTTACATTGAATATAAATATTTTTTCACCTTCTGGTACGGCATGAATGGTTAACTGGGTACAGTCAATACCTCTCAAATATTCGAAAAACTGCTCATCCACATCTGCAGGAAGTATCTTTCTGATAAATTCCAGATCTTAAGTGGGTATCATTGCACAATCTCTCAAAAATAACATACCACTCTGAGAAAATTTGAAGTTTTCTACAAAACGCAGACAGTCTTCGAGACCGGCGAAAATAGTGAACTCGCCCTAGAAATGCAGAACAGTTGAGGTAAGAGAAGGAGGAACAAACCTGGAAAGGATTCTTCCGGAAAAATAGATCGAAAACAGCTGGCTCATCATGGGTGCCGGACCGCCAATATGCATAGCACATTGTAATCTGTTGCAATTCATTACTTTAGAAATTTCTTTCGATTTACTTGATAGAAGTCAGTCAGCAAAGGCTGAACAAGCGAGTCTTGTCCGTTCATGTGTAGGCCGTTGACTAGTGAGCTACCAGGACTAGTCTCTGGAAAAGAATAAACATGAGAAACATTTCTGCGGTAATAAGAACATCTATTTCAATCACAACATTCATCTTCTTGATTGAAGTGATTGATCCTTTAATGCGTTGCTTGTAAAAACAATGAGGCGTTAGAAAGAACTTTAATGACGACCACTAACAAAGGGCTTTCATGGTATCTTATGAGAAAGCATTTTTCTCAAAATAAGCTAATGGTTACATGCTTTAAATCAAAAACAAAGTTCACACTAACACGAATTTTAGCCTTACCAGATGGCAGAACGAATGCCATATCAGGATGAATGGCCGCAACGACTGATAAAATTTATAAAGACGGTGGATTAAACCTCAAAGGAAAATGGTCTATTTGTCACGGTTCATTAAAAGCGATACATCACCAGTTCGAAACCAGAGAACATTCGAAGATAGTAAGAAAAAGAAAAAATAGACTTTAAACTTTCCCTCAAAGAATTTTGATAGGAAATTTGGCGTCTGGGAAAGCAACCAAAACTAGAGTGGATTCGTCACCCATCCTTTGATATTGAGGTTTGATTTTTTATGATTGAAAAACAAAAAATAAAAACGATTAACGACAATTATGAAGATCGACAAACAGTTAAGCTTGACGCGAAGAATAGAAAGATAAACAAACAGATTTAAAAGGTGGCAAAACGATGTTATAGATTTGTTCGATTGCCACTTCAATAGGCTTCAATAGTTCAGCAAGGAAGAAATAATAAAATTAGAGCTAAATCCAATTCAAATAGCAAATACACTCGCTTAATCTCAAATTTTATTTCATATGTGAGAGAAGTAGTTGAGGGTGGAGAGTTCTGAGAAGAACTAGTAGTATATTGAGGAAGGATACAAACTACCAAAGTCTATTGCGGAATCAGCCACTCCATCCTAGCCATCTCTCTTTGGAAAAGTACTTTGTGATAGTTTTCAAAGTGTTAAAAAATGTTTTCTCTTCCCCACATCAAACAAATCACAAACGGGAAACAAAACTGTCATCTGAAGGACATCTGATAATCCGAAAGAATTCTCGTATCAAGAAAGGACAACACCTAACCATGGAAATATCAGAAGGGTAGTGGCCAAGAAGCATTGCAACATTACTCAAATAACGGCTGATTCGAACAGCTTCAATGATTGAGAAAAAAAGGAAATCATATCTTATTTACAAGTAAATAAAACGTGAGATTTTCCGAAAACAAAAACATCAGTATAACAGATCGAAACGTGATTACATCACGTTGTAACTAAACGATAACCTAGCACTTCGACGGGACCATAACTATAAGTCCTATCTAAACAAATAAACAAAATAACAAGCAAGATCAAGTAGAATCGAGGTCTCATTGGCTTCTCTGTTGAGACACGGGAAAAATTTGAAAATCTAAGAAAGTGTAAGAATACTCTAGACTAGCGATTGAAAGCTCGCTTACGCGGTTTCACATTAAAACTCAAAACTAAAAATTCACTTTTAATTCATAGCATGAGTAACTCCGTTTTCCGCTTGGAAATTCTCAATAAATCAGATTCCAGCTGAATGAAAAAGGTATAAGATCAACTGTGAAATGAGCATTGGAATTACCTGCACTACACGCTCTCGATAAACTTCCAGCTCCTTTTTCTTCATTTCTTCTGCGACAGCAAGGTCCCACAGCTCGTTCTTCTGAATTGAAACCTCATTTTGAACTTTGTGAAGCGTAAAAACCTTGTCTACGTCGGTAGGTTTCTCTATGGGTTGACTTGGGTTACAGACATCCAATGGAAATGACTGCAAAATGGTTAAGCGCTGGTATCGGAGCTGTTACATACCATAACGTTATTTTCTTCGGGAACTTCGTTTTTAATAACTACAGTATCTTCCATAACAACTTCGCTGTTTAGTGGAGGTTCATCAAGAGATGGCTTCACCAGAGCTTCTGGATCTGCCGAACTAGGAGTTGAAAAAGAAGACGTTGAAGCTATCGATTTTGCTCTTTCGATCTCCCCTAGCACCTATTGACCATGATTACCACATTTTTTTTCCAATAATTCAAATACCTGCGACAGATTATCATTACCATTATCATAAGCTTGAATAGCAGTGGGATAGTTGTATGGTGTACTCATAGGAAAGTTGGCGACGGACGCATAAGTAGCTGAGGAGTCATTCATCAAATTGTATAAACTATTGTTGACGAAGTTAGGAACTCTGTAATTAGAAAAACTAGATATAAGAGACGAAACTAAACCTACTGAAATGCATAAGGTAGTTCGGACATGATACCATCTTCTTCGGAAAGCTCTTCACCTCTGAATAATGAATAGAATGAAATTATAGAGAGCTTTTCGCATACTTTTTATCTAATAATCTATACTTTGACGCTCTATCTCTTCTAACTAGGTCGCTTTGCTTTTTCCCAATTACAGACTTGGCCAGCTTTTTCCAACTTTTCTGTTTCTCAGTTTGATTTTGTATAGATGGTCCTGGCATAGGACCTCGTTTCTTTTTAGGAATTTGTATCTTAATTGCTGAAACTTATAGTATAGAAACAGCTTCATTAGTATTCCTAACGAATTGTGGCAACAGTAGCTATGTTAGTTTTGGGTAGAACTTTCTTTTCCGATGTAGATTTAGCTAATTTTTGATCTTCCTCGGGGTTAACAGGTTTCCTAGGCTACAAAAAAAAATTAGTCAAATTCAGCACTCATTTCTATAAACCTTGTCTTTTTTTCGCATTGATAAATTGCAAGCTCTTTGGAACATATTTTTTTTTGGTTCATCAGTCTGCGGAGATGCGTTACGACTTCTGTTTCTATCAGATCTGTCTTTTGAATAATAATTGTCTTGGTATCTATCTTTAGAGTAGCCGTGGTAACTGAACAAAAACAAAACTGGAAATGATTTCAAAGTCCAAAGGGAATCAGTCTACCTTGATCTGCTACTGTTTCTATCAAGGTGCCGTTTCTCTGAATAGTTTCTATCATTTCGATAGCTATCAGAACTCCTATCATTGTTATATGCTGACTGAAAAAAGAATCAAATAAAGGAAATATCCATCATTTGATTCACCCTATAGCTATATCCATCACTAGAATACTTGTTGACACTCCGCGAGGAATAGGAAGAAGGATGTGATTCCCTGAAACATTTGTGCTAAGAGTCTACGTAGAGGAACATCTGTATACTTTCTGTCTTTTTTTATCGTAGATGGCTCCATGTATGTATTGTCCATGCGTTCTGAATTCGTTCTCGGTTTTTTTGGTGGCTTCAAAAAATAATAGTTCAAATACGACTGTTATAGAGATATACCGATTCTCTTTCGTCTGTGTCAATTTTCGCTCGTAGCCGTTCTAATCTTCTTCTATGCTCAGGGGTGTCAACGTGCTGAATATGCTGTTTAAATACGAGAAAAGAAAAAGCAAACCTTTGAATAATCGGCTAGAGATTGGCACTTGCAAACACAAACTATGCAATTATGTGCGCTTGAACCTGTGGAAGCAAGCTTAACGTGATGACTCAGAAGGAGATTGTGTTCTTTTTGCTCCTAAATTCACTTTACAGAACTACAATTCTCAAAAATCAATAACTCAATTAAATTGTACAATCAATCAATCTTTACACTTATTTGTGCGAAATATTCTTTGGAAAAACACTAACCAAGTTCGTTGAGAAACTTATGTTACATAGTTTGCAATCCAGTGGCATCCACAACAGCTATGTTAGTAAACGTTTGGTTAAAAACAAATCTAAAGGAATACATGTTAGCTAGTCTTTTCTGGTACTACAATATTGATTCGTGGGTGGAACCTGTACTTCGAATAGTAAAAATTTTTATAAAATCCAAACTTTAAGTTCATATAGATATAACAGTCAGTAAAAAAAACATAAGACGGACATGTACAAGTGCATTAACTATATATCTATAAAAACATTTGCACCAATGAAAAAAATCACATATTATTCCTCAAAAGCATAGTTTAGAACCCATGTTTGAAATTTTGAGACTCGCGTAGTTCAATTCATAAAATTAATCTGACCACTCATTCTTGTCATCAGAATCTGAAATAAATTCAATTACACTATATCTTCGTAGGGGTTAGGGTTTTTCAACATTTTTGTGACGCAACATAATTAACATTGCATCCTCGCCGCCAATTCACGTAAGAAAGCGCACCCTATGCATATGCTTCCGGAAAAGTTTTTTCTAACTTTGGACAGTCATCGTTGTGATGCTTTCCGTGAAATAACATCTCAAAGAAACTTCACAAAGATTGCAACCATTCTGAACGTTTGCAAGACTATTATCTAATTCACAGATCATGCGCAATATTTTGAAAGGAACGGCCAGTTCCGTGCAAAAGAGTAAACGAAAAAAGACGCTATTTTTTGCTTATTTGAGAGAAAGTATATCAAAAAAATACTGGGAACAAGTCTTTCAACAAACCTTCTTCCTCACTGGAATCATCAATTCCAAGATTAACCCTTCTTTCTTCTAAAGCTTTAGCAAGAGCTCCGGCCAAACCTCCCATATCAGAAAGGGGAGCTGCAGACTTCCGTTTTTCTTCCTCGTCTTTGTCAACCTAGAAAGAAAAAATCAGGAACACTATAAAGAGAAATGTACGAACATGTTTAAGTTGCGTGCCTTGTCTGATTTGAGCCATCATATCACCTCTTGCATTGGGCGCACCAACTTTTTCGGCCGGATCGCCGACAGATTTCAGTTTTTTGCCAGCTTGAATTTCCTAAAATAACATTTTATGAAGGACAAATAAGCACTTTTTCCAACCGCTAAGAGATTTGACCTTCCGGATTGTGGAGCGGGTAGATCTTTGATAAGGCTTGTAGGAGGCGGTGGTGGTGGTGGTACTGCACCTAGTGAGAGAACTTGAAAAGTTATGCAAGGTAGGAATAGTACCTGAGCTTCCTGATAATACGGGAGGTGGAGGAGGAGGTGGAGGGACTGATGAACTGTTATTGTACACTGGAGCCACAGGAGGTGGTGGAGGAGGAGGTGGAGGAACAACGGCAGGTCTCGTATCTACTTGAGACGGTAAACTTGGAACCTGAAGAAACGACAAGTTAAAAGCATAAAAGACGTGAAAATTCTTATTCAAGGCTCTTAAAAAACATACTTGTGGTAGAGGCCTCGCTGCTCTGTTAGACGAATCTACTATATAGCTAGGAGGAGGTGGAGGAGGTCTAGCAGGCGGTTGAGATGATGGATGCGAAGATAACCTAGACGGTGGTGGTGGTGGAGTTGGTTGAGACCATTGTGATATTGTAGGCTGCGAAACTGGTACCGCGGGAGGAGGAGTTTTATATGGAGCTTGAGCAACAGGAGACTCAGTAACCTCTTCAGCTTGATATTTATCGATGAAGTCATACACGAACTTCATTGTTTTCTTGCTCATAGCCGTAGGATCTTGTCCGGCGGCTCTAATAATATCCCTGTAATCCACCAGTAAAAAATACATATTTTGTATTCAAAGTACCTAATACTTTCGTCCATGGGATCAGAATCGAATACATTGTTGGAAAATCCACTATCTTGGTCCCAGCCCACGTGAGCCTTGTGCCTGAAAAATTCCGTATCTTTTATTGATTCAGAGGGAGAAGAAAAAATTCTTCAAGCAACCATTTCGAAGAAGACTTGTTTCGTTAGTTATTATGACAAAGCAGGGAAGAGAGAAAACGCGCGTAAAAGCAAATAAAAGCTTAAATTCTATTTGATCTGGAAAACTCATGGGTCCGAAAACGCTTATAAGGAAAGTCCTTATTCTCTCAGTACATAAAGTTTTTTAAGTGAAAAATATATAAACACGCACGTGCTCTCTCACAGCTCTAAAACATTTACACAAATACATTGCATAATTTACGAATGACACACTGCGAAAGTTTCAACCATACAGAAAAACGCGCAGTATGTTCGTTCTCTAATGGAAAGTTGAAATTTACAAGAACAAAAAAGTAAATGTTGAAGCTGCTCTGTCTCTAATATCGGATGTTCAATGAAGAAAAAGTAGAAAAATATGATAAAAACTCACTGGAAGTTAGTAGGGTTGCTGATGTCTTCCTTTTTAATTTTGATTTTTCCTTTTTTCTTCCCCTTATCTTTTTTGAAGAAACTTGATCCTATAGACGAGCTCGCTTTATCGGTATGAGGCATAGTTCCTACGGGAGTAACACCTCCACTCAAGGGGATCGATGGTGTTCTCACACTAGATGGAGTATACGGGGAGCTTTGAGGGGGTGGCAATGGCGCACTTCCTTTGTTACCTAGAATGTAAACCTTTATAATCAATTTTTTCAAAAACTGTTCTTAATAAGTTTATAATATAAATTTTGAGAGAAAACCGGACAAGCGCTTAATGAGCTTCTTTTGTTTGAGCTTATGTCGCGCCTTGATAACAATATGCTCACAAAATCTAGAACTCTTCAGAATCTTCAATTAAATTGAAATTTTTTAATTTCAACAAAACAAAACAAAAGTATGTAACTTGATTTGTTTGCAATAAGACACATAATCTACTTTTTCATAAGTTGTTTATTATATTAGTCGATCAGATGCCGACTTTCATAGTTATTCACTCCACAAGATAAGCCACTTGAGAGGTTGTCGGCCACTTAGGCTTAGCAATGTGGTAAGAACTAAATGCTTCTCGCTGTATACTCTATTTTACATAGAATCACTAGGCTCAAGGCTAATTGGAAAAACAGACAAACACTGACCTGATTTGCGAAACAATCTATTTTTAAAAAGCTTTGATGAAGATGATGATTTTTTTGGTGTCTGCTCATTGCCACAGCTACTACTTCCGAGGCGCGGATCTTCATTATAACTATTAACAGTTCTGAGAAAAGGGTAGGAAGACGGATCAGGATCCAAACTGAACGGTTCCAAACTAGATATATGTCTATCCTCATCTACAGGCTGTCGAGGCTCCCTTTCTCCGACAAGAGAACTGACAAAATGTCCTTCAGATACAGGAGAGTCCGGCAATTGGAAGCGAACTCGATTCCTTAACGGTGGAGAATAATCTGGAGAAGGACACCTCGGTTCTTTCCGGGAATAATAATAGAAGCTATCGGAGTTTGGTATCGAAGAAACAGGGCTCACAACTTCTCGAGGGTAAGAAGGCCTGCGAACGTATCGCATATCTCGATAAACAGAGCTTTCTTGATATTCCGAAGAAGATGTAGAAGGTGATGAATAAATGTAGCTACCAGTAATAGGGGCAGAATATATTTGATGGTAAATTGGAACTGGACTATCAGGTGACACATTATCATACTGTTCCACCTCCCCATGGTGATCGGAATAAGCAGGCTGCGGTGAACATGAATACATTGGATCCGGAAAACTACGGCAGCCTCGTGAAAATCGATAACAGTCATCCGGGTTGAAAGAATGAGCACTGTGATATTGGTAGCGTAGACGACCAGTAGGGTCTTCTCTTACAACCATCCACATATTTGGATGAATTGGAAGGAATGTTTAGTAAATAGTAAGAAATGGAAAAATAACTGTCTTTTTTAACTTAATTTATAAAGACAGTTACAAGAAATCCGGATGATTATGCAACGACTAATTGCATAGGGTAAAGCACTGCTCTCGCGGAACAAGGGGCGTGCAAACTCCGCCCTGTTCGGAAACACATCTCAAGCCAACCGGACAACAGAAGAGAGACGTTCTGACGAAGAAGATAAGAAAGCATTGCTCTCTCCCTTTAAAATTCGTCGAAAACGCTAAAGCGCCCTAACAAATAAAGTTTCTCAACGCTACAATGTGAGTGAGCCTCCCAATAATTTCAGCAAAACAAAGAAAAGCGCAACAATGCTTGTAAATTGTCATGATACAAGAGCACACGTTTTTTTTTCTGAATGTCAACATGTATCCGACTCTTATAATTGAAAATCTGGTAGCTTGGCGGCAATACCCAGAATAACTAGCAAGCCATGAACAAATTCGTATGCGTTTAAAATTTAAAATAAGGAAACTTACTACTTTTAGTTTCCTGTTCTCTCCTCTTGTCAAAATGCACTTTGAAATCTCTCGCTTCTTCAACACTTGAAAAATTAAAGCCATATATCTGAACATAATCACTCGTATACAAGTAAATTATAAAGACTTACCTTGTGATCTTCACTCTCAAAAAAAATCAATTCAGGGCAATTATCGCCAACTTCAACTTGAAAACCTTTGTAACTGCAATAATCTTACTTAAAAAAGAATTAAAGAAACATTCAGAAAAAAATGAAAAAGAAAACTAGAAATGTAATCTGTAGTTAAATATCAAAGCGAAAAAAACAAAATGGAGTTCTCGGGAAAAAAAAACTCACAGCTTGAACGACCATATTTCTCTGCTGCTGATTAAATTATATATTCTCAAAAAATAAGCTCGATTAACATAATCCTGGAATAAACGATCACAATACGAATTTGAACGAAAGTAATAACCTTTACTAGACATAAAACTCCTCGGAATTTTTTTTTCCAATGTCGATCTTCACACGTTAGTAGCTCAACGACAGCAGCAGATAAACATATATTATCGTTTCCAAGAATGGAAAATAGAAAATAATTCTCTTGATTATCTAAAAGCTTTGATCCCGTATTAGAAGGCCTTCTTTTTTCTAAAATATTTTTTATAAGAAACAGAGTTGAAACAAACAAAAACCAAAAAATGTAAACTAACTTACTTGGTTTATCACCCATGGACATACTGGGCGGGGGAGGATAGCCACTCGACATTGTGTTGGCAGGTTTTTACCCACTAACCAGCCTGAAAATATATGAATAGTTTACAAGCTTCTTCTTATCAATGAGGTATTATATAGATTGAAAACACAAAAACGAAATGAATCAGCACGCCGGAAACCATAAAGTACTTGCTTGGTCACAGTACAACAATTTAAGCTCCACCTTTCAAATCTTGTACGCGACGCATACTCATCGCTAAACAGCGGGCATAAAATTTGTGAACATTCTATAGGTTTTAAGTCATGCTCTCATACAAAGTAAACGCATCAGCATAACTATTATTCCTAGGGTAGAAAATAGAAATTTTTTTTCTTTCCATTTATAACCCATGTCGTCATAACGTTAACACAGCTTTCTCTCCAATATTGAAGTTATATGTAGAAAGAACCTTAATGATTTCGCGAAAATGAATTTCAACAGACAGTAGTTTTTTGTCAGTGAGAATACAGATCGAGCATTGAATTGAGACAATCTATTGAAATAGGCATGAATTGTTTCAATAATCAGAATACCTTTTCGTGAGGCATCATGTAATGATTTGTTTTGATAGTTTCTGATGATTCATCGTGACCATGTTCGTTAAGCGCTTTCTGAACGGTATATCGAAAGCACTAGACTTGCTTTAACAGTTGTGATTACCCTTGTAACTTAAGAAATGTTGTCGGCCATAAGAATATGAAAATCTTTTCACACTCTATTTGTTGATATCCTTTCATTCATTTTTTTTTACAATTTCCAAAGTCAAAATTCTATGGATAAGGAGTAAAAGATGTAAACAAGAATCAGAATGTTTGCTTGAATAGGGAATCTATTGTTGTAACTTTGAATTATTCTTATCAATGCTCTTAGAAGATAGAAAACGCTTACGTTAGTTTGCTGACCATGAAAAGTTATCGAGAGTTCTGCGAGGTGATAGATGTAAAAACAATAGTTCAGATTTGAACTGAGTTAAAAGACACAATTGTATTCTGGAACTCTGTTGTCTTTAAATGCTTAATTCAGTTAAGAATGTTCGAAAACTCGGAAGAATGGATATACCGTATATTCCTGGAAACGTGTACGACCGGTTCCTTTGCCGCACCAACCCAAAATGATTATTCGCAGCTTCCCGTAGACATTCTGATTTCGACTGTTTCAATTATTCTAATTAGTCATACTTATAAAGTTTCTCATACTTTCGAAACGAATGCAAATGATTGCGCTAGTTAATCACTCTGTTTACACTAGTTATCATCATTGAGTTGTTTGAATTGGTCAACTTACCTTAGTCTTCATCCTTTCTTTTTTTACTTACGTTACAATAATTTCGGTCTTATCATGAATAGGATTTTCAGGTTGTGTACATAAGTTGCCTGTAAATATGTCTAAAAAGTTTGAAAAGCTGCTTGGTAAAGTTCCACACAAAGTTGCACAGTTTATATCATCATTCAGATGCTGCAACTGATAGTACTTTGCTTGAGCCCAATTGGGATAGTATTATATCATGCTACGACGCCGTAAGATCTGGCGAAATTCAGTAAGGCTTAGATTCATTCTGCTTCATGCAAGTTTATTTAAGAGGAAAACAGGCTATGACTTATATTCGGAAGAAGATTCAGCATGAGAATCCACACGTTGTTATATATGCCCTCCTTGTCTTAGATGCTTGCGTCAAAAACACAGGTCCTAAGGTTCGTGCAATTTTTTCTCTCATCAGTATCAGTCAGCTTCTAGATAATCAAAGAAGTCGCTACTCGTGAATTTATGGAGGAATTTAAGAATTTGGGAATAGATAGCAAATATGATGATGTACGTGTTTCATTTGTATTCAATACTTAAGGTGTTCTTAGGTTCGTAACAAAGTACTGGAAATGCTACAGTGCTGGGCTATGGCGTTTGCTAATAAACCAGAATGCAAAATCATCGTGGACACTCATAATCTAATGAAACTTGCTGGGTTTGATTTCCCTTCTATTAAAGAAGCGGATGCTATGTTCATGGCTCAAGTAGCTCCAGACTGGCAGGAGGGTACAGAGTGTTTTAGGTACAATCCTATGATGAACGTTTCTCAATTTGTTTCCATCAGATGTCGTGTTGAATTTGCTGTCTTGACAAGAAAGCATCACTGTAGAGCTTGTGGGCAGATTTTCTGTGGAACTTGCAGTAGTAAGGTTATGCCTTTACCTCAATTCGGAATTGAAAAAGAAGTATGTGTTGGAAAAGTTCTTCAATACAACATTTTCGACTATTTTTATAGGTTCGAGTTTGCGATGCTTGTTTCGAAAAAGGAGGTCGAAGGCTTGAAAAGGCTGCAACAGCTGTTAACCCAGGAAACGCAGGAAATGTAAACATATATCTACTTTTCTCATGATTGGCATTTGATAATTTTTAGAAGGAAACTAAAGTTGTACTTTCTGAAGTCACCGAAGCTGAAAAGGAAAAGCTCAGAAGGGAAAAGGAAGAGGAAGATTTGGCTTTAGCAATAGCTCTGAGCAAGAAAGAGGCTGAGTCAAAAGATAGCCATAAGGGTTTGTATTCGATGTATACGGAAACCCAGGTTAACAGTAGCGCACCACCGGTTAACGTGAGTTAGAGAGCCTACTTTTCCTGCTATATCAAATGTTTTGAAGGACAATGCCTCTGTATCTTCTTATCAATTATCTGAAATCGGTTATAAAGGAGCAGCATCCAACGTTCCCGAATCTCCTGGAGATAGCTTAGCTGGTGATGACCCTTTGGCTAAGTACGAGAGTTGTTTGATGATCAATTCATGGTAGTGTTCCAGATATCTCAATCGTGATTATTGGCAACAACGCAAAACAGGCTCTTTATCGAAGGTGTGAAAACACATCGAGTTTTTTACTCTGTTTTTATAGGTAGAGGAATGGGCTGGTAATGCTGCTTCTGCACCAGTACCTTCCGAACAGTCCTACCCTTCCGGTCCAGGAACTATTGTGGACGAGCCAGTAAATGTAACTGCCGTAACAAACCAAATGTCCGCTTTGGAAGTTGATGGTCAAACGGAATCGACTCTGCGTTGGTGTCAAGATCTGAAGGAGAATGTATTATATCATTATTCATGTTACCACGTTATTTTTGTATGCTCAGGTTTCGGTGATGGAGAACAGAATTAGATCGAACACTGCCAGGGGACGACCCGTTGTCAACGACACTGCCATTCAAGGCTTGTTCTTGAAACTCACTGAACTGCATGCTCAGGTTCTCAGTCGGATGTCTAAGCTGGATGAAGATCGAGGTGAGAGTAATGAGAATATACTCATTGTGAGGTCTGTTTCAGCTTATTATGAACGGCTTCAAGATCATCTAGCCCACATCGTTGATGCGAGGTCAGCGGTGAATGAACTTCGAGATGAGAATGAGAGAAAGCGTCTGGAACGTGTTGCTGAAGAGCAAAGGCTCCGACAAGCTCAAATGAAACAGACTCTGGATATGATGCGAATGAAGAAACATGTAGGTTTTTTTTTCGTTATTTAGATAGTTTCTCTTTAGGCTATGCTCATGGAACAAAGAGACATTGCCCTTCAAAGATTCCAGCAACAAGAACAAGAAATGGTTGTACGACGGCAGCAGCCTGTTGGGTATTATCCTTACCCTCAGCAACAGGCTTACCCTCCTAACGGTTTTTTATTCGAGAAAAACGAAATATCACAATCTTTTGAAGGCTATGATCAGCAGCAATATTATAACTATGCTCAGCAGCAACAGTACAGACAAACTACTCCTTCGGTTACAACAGCGAATCAGTATGAACAGTATGCGCAACAAAATGGGTATTATCATTCTGAATCCACAGCAGCATCAATGTCTCAAAATCGTGAGTTTATCGTTTCTTTTCTTGGTAATCAAACCTTTAAGAAATAAATGGGATGCACCAACCATCGCTCAATGGTAGTATTCACCAGCAACAACAACCCCAACAACCCCAACAACCATCGCAACATCATCAACAACAACAACAACAACAACAACAACAACAACAACAGCAGCAGCAACAACAACAACAACATCAACTACAACAGCAGCAGCAGCAACCCCAACCACAACAACAGCAGCAACCACAACCTAACCACGTTGCCCTTTCGAACTACCCGTCTCAAGGTATGCCCATTCCATATTATGGTGCTCAAAATGGGCAGTACATGCAACAGGTTAGTTTTCATTGTAGACTTGTCGATCATGTTATTATTTAGCAGTGCCAACCATCAACCCAACATTCAACTAATCCGGTGAAACAGGAATGCGCTCCCCAAAACTCTCAGCCTTATACGCCTGCAAGCACTACTCAATCTTATGGTAGCTTTTCCTAAACTTTGTATATGTAACAACTTTCACATTTTTACAGCTCCTGTACCTGATGTTCAACAACCGGTTGCAGAAGCTCCATTGATTTCTTTTGATTGATATTTATTATTATTATTTCTGTACTTATGATGTTTTTTTTCTAAGGTGTAGGATTTCTTTTTGTTAATTCTAATTCCATCAGATTTCTCGATAAACTTGTGATATGTATGTAAAATATACAAGTAAACCTTTTACTAACTAATTGATTTCAAAATATGCTACTGTTTCATGATTTATGGAATACCTTATATATGTACAATCATATAAATCGCATAATATTGAACACATCTTTCAGTCTGATGGGAGGGTCTAGCTCAGTACCACTGTCACGTCATTCGGAACAAATAAAAACCGAAGTAAATACTTTAAAGTATAAAGATTTAGGTACTTTTCACAGGTTAACGAGCACCCTGTTGTTGTGTATACCAAAGATTATTGCCCTTATTGCGTCAGAGCCGAAAAGGAGCTCAATGAACTTGATATTAAATTTGTGGAAAAGGTTTTTTATCGTAGAAATGTTTGATCAACATATATTTTGTTAGAACTTGAATGAGAAGGCGAAGGCAGATCCCGCTAATGTGGAAGCGTATGTAAAAGGTTTAATGGACCTGACTCATCAGAAAACTGTCCCACAAATATTTGTATGTGGAAGGTGAGTAAATCCGAAACCAAATGGGTCTATAATCTGTTTCAAAGTCTCTTACTCTATTTATAACTGACACCTAAGTGTTGTAGCGTCCAGAGTGATTATTGTTTTTGAGCAGTTCATATAGCATTGAAAAAAAAAGAATCATTTCGATCCCTACTTCTAATTAATCCTCAATTGATAGGTTTATTGGTGGCTATACCGAAATGCATGCCCAAAAGAAAAATTTGTTGAAAATGGTTGCTGAATGTTCAACCGATGGAGTAGCCGTTGACAAAACGGCTACTGTACGCCCGAAGCTTTAAGACTGATATATGTGTTTCAAATAGGTTCATATAGTTTATTGTATTTACAACATTTGTTAGAATATAGATATGCATTTGGTATTGAGTTATTGTGGTTTATAAACTTTCAATAGTAGTTTCTCCCGTTTGTGGAATTGCGACAGCGTTTGGATCGGTGTATGGTGTACATTCCTGAAGAATGTTTTTTTTACTCGTTCTCGAGATGAAACTAACTTTAACTAAAAGACAAATCGTTAATGGCTTGAAAGATGGAGTGTTCATCTCTTGATACAAAAGTTGAGCATTTTCTTTGATCATTACTAGGCATCGGCGACGATACTGGAAGAAATGATGAAAAGATTAATCTGGGACAGACAGGGAAGTACAAATAAATCATTTTCGTTCTATATGAAGATAACTGTTGTCAAGTGTAATTAACATCTGATTTTTAATATCTCATTTCGCATATTCAGATTAGAAAAAGGTGAGAGTAGTAGGCTCACATAGAGAAGATCAAAATGCTGGGTAAACACATGCTTTTGAAAACTCACATTGAACTGGCGGTTGCATTCATGTTTCAGTTGATTGGCTAATTTTCTTCTACTTGATACATTGGTGGAAAAATGACCATTAACTGTTCGTATAACAAGTTGGCACAAGTCGCAAGTTTCTTGGTTTGTTAAGCAATCAACAGTTACCATTAATGCCTTCAATTGATAAACACCTTTGTCATTATCTCTAAACTAACAACTCACTACAAAGTAAATGCAAAGCTGGAATAATAAGCCCATTTGATCATGGAGCTCTGAAACAGTAACAACGTACGGATTGATTTGTAATCGGATGATGTAGTGAGTTGGGCTCTGAAGCTTTGTGTTTGAAATATTGAATCAGAACCACAGGTCAAGCAATTGAGGAGATCAAGTCAAGCACACATGTCAAACAAAGAGCTAGTTATTATGAAACGGGACGGATTATGGGATGATGAAGAATGTTCGCCGAAGGGCCAATTTGAGCCAAAACAGGAATACGAAGGCTCCCTGACAGTGAATAATGAGACGTTACAAGAAAAAAAGACTCGAGAGTAGAAGGAGGACACTCAGTTTAACAGCACAAGGAAATTTTTCTAATGAGATGACGTTTGAAAAGAAAAGCGTCTAAATTGAACTGTCATCGTTCATGCGCTTGGTAGTCATCGACGTTGCAGAGCTAGTTCAGCCGATCTGCTGCTACCCGACCCACTCCAGCCATATTTTTCTCTCTTTCTTTTTTCTCTCGTTTTCATGGTTAATCTATAATATTTCTATTGTCAATGATTTCTTTACAGTTGATATTAACATGAACGATGAACATGTGCGAGTGGCAAGTCATTGAAGCGTCTATTTCAAGGAAATTCTATCGCCAAAGTTTTCGTGAAAATTGAAAAACCATTTTATGAACCTTTCTGTCTGCCAAAATGTCTTCCAATCAAGCAGTTGGTCACTTTGGGTGCAAATGGTTCTTATGACCTTCAATCGGCGAGAGACCATATTAATTTTTTGTCAATTAGCTTATTTGATAATTAAACCTGTTTGCGTTTTTCCAAGCAAGCTTGTTAGATAGTTTTAATGTAATCAACAGACAATGTTCCAACTGACGTGGTGACAATAAACTTGAATGGAATCTGTGAAACTTGAGCACAAAACGTCACTTCTGAAATATCTTTATTAAAAGGAAGCCGAACAATATACGATTATAAGAAATAATGATGTGACGAAAGTCGAGAATTTTTCATTTTCTGCTTCGCAAGCTGGGGAGAGCGGTTGAATGCAGAATTTCGTTGCAATGCTGCAGTTTTTTTCTCCTTCCTTTTTCACTAAATTCCATTTCCTCTTTTGTTTTCATAGTTTCATTTCTCCATTAGATCTCCCATAGGACATCTTCCACCCCAAAAAAGGTGTTCTTTGATTTAACTTCATTTTGAAATATGGTGAATTCATCGAGAAGCATGTGAAGATTGTAAACATCTGAATGCAACTGGTTTAACGTCTTCATGTTAATATCTGCGACATATTTACTTATAAGTTTCATTGTGAAAGAAAGACATGTTGTTTGAGAATATATTTTAATGTCTTTAAATATGTATATATTTGTATAAAAGCGATAATTATTCTTAGGGATTTGAACATACAACGGGTAGAAACAAAGAAAAACGAATCAACGGTTTGGGAAGTTGAAGGATTCTTATGAGAAACTAGCGACGGAACTAATATTAAAAGTGAACACTAATTCGTGCTTCTATAAGTATATGAAATGAATCAAAATAGAGAGGAAGAGAGATACATTATTGCAAAGACATGTTGTGGTACAAACGAAGAGGAATCTACAACGAACAAGCAAATGTGGCTAAGATTTGTATGAAAACTTCTGTATATATAATATACGGAAATATCTAATCTATTCGTATAATTAACTGTGCCAGATATAGAAACATCATAGGCAGGAAGTGGAAAATGAGAGGAAAAGAAAAAGATGGAGAAGCAATCTTTAACTATATCGATGGGCGTTGAGATGAAACTTTTGTTTATTGGTACTCTTAAATTAAAAGAAAAAACCCTAAAGCTCGAGATAAAGCCCCTAAGGATTAAATAATATTAATATTGATTGGTCCAATCTAACATTTCGTAGTTTTTAACCCAAAAAATCAACAGAATAGTTCATGACTTAATGACATAGGTGGGAGGGGTAAGGGGGACGGGGAGAAGTTTACGGGAAAACACATGGAGTTTGACGAGGACCCTACCAAACTTCAGTAGAGCTTGATAAGATCGTTATCAACCGGAAGTAGCCAATAAACTTTTACACGAAAGAAACACTCAAGGCGGTTCAAAAGGCTATAGTTTAAGGGTAGAGAGGCTATGATAACCGTGTACCTGCTGAATAAGGTGTTAAATGAGATGGTTTCAAATATACTCTATATATTACTATCTTCTAAACAGGACAACTATCTATTAACAAGTTGTTATAAGATGTCAAGTGTCAAAGGAGGGAGTATTTATGAGAAAAACTGATAATATTCAGATTAACCGGGGAGTTGTGCATAACCAACTATGATGTCACACCGGTTTGGGTTGGGGGGGGCACTGGGCGTTAACTATTCTAGATACCTGGCCATATATGGAGTTTGGAAAAACAAAAAAACAGTAAAAAAATTTGAATAAGAAAAGGATAGAAGAATGGGTATGTAATCTGCCGATAACAAAATGGCTAAAATAAACTGCTGAGAAGTCTGTAATGAAGAAAACATGGGGAAAAGGCTACGGCATGCTTCGAGTGGTAAAATAGAAAAATATGTATATTTTTGATAAATATATATATATATATATATGTATATAGTTAATTTACATAAATTATAATATTAATAATGTACTTCAGTACTATTAGATATTTCTTTCACAGATAGTCACGAAAGCACTGCGTGGTTACATAGAGACGAGATGGAAAGAAGAGGTAGATGACTCGCTGATGAACGAACACTTTTGCGGATTTATAATCCACATGTTGTACGTCATCTGATGGCGGAAAGCTGGAAGTAAACGAGCTCATCTTTTGTTATGAGAGAAAGAAAGAGGAACGAAAAGAAAGAGAGCTTATGGTTTGAAGGAAGCTATTCGATTAAGCATTCTATGCAAGAATTATGTACAACTGAGGTATTTGGGTGTGGAATTGGATGAGAAGAAGGTACTGAATTGTCTTTAGAAGACATGTTCCTCAGCACTGGCAACCGGCTGTGTCATCGGTGATGATTTTTGCTCTGGTTCCAATTGCTTGAGAGTTTTTTTTGCATCTTCAAATGCAGACCCCGTTGAACCAAGCTGGCTAGCCATTATGCTTTCTGTACAGCCTTGTTGACTGTCGAAAACATTCATGACATCCATTTTAAGAACAAAAGGAATGATCTGTTCCACTTGCATATTTCCAATCAGACCAGAAAAAAATAATTCAGCGAGAATGGGCTGTCTGAACCAACGGAGTGTTGGAAGAAGTTGGAGAATGCGTGAATACCTAAAAAGAAGAAGCTCAAAACCCGAAGATAATACTCTAGTTACCGTTCCACAACTGCCGACATATTATTAGAAGTGATATGCGTTTCATTATCCTCTGATGTGGAATCATCGTTTAATGAAACCATTGAAGCGATATGCTCGTAAAGCTCGTGACAAGCTGTTGTGTTCGTCATTCGCAGTTCAGGGAGATATGCTATCGAAGGAATATCTGAAATGAAATTTTTCAAATAATTGTCACTTTACGTTTAACTGACCATTTGAAGTAAAAGAGATCAACTTCAAGTAAGCAAATTCGATATTAGTCAGTTTAAGTTCTTCAAATCTTCGAACCAACATCAGAAGATATCCGATCTGTTCGTGAACTTCTTCAAACTTGATAGATGGTAATTGTTCTAAACATTGATGCATAAGAGATGAAGCAAAGAAAGAACAACTGACTTATCCTTGTGTACGCTGCCAATTGACAGTTCATAGTTTCAAGCATTCGAATGAAGTCAATTTTATTAGATGATTGCATTAAACCCAGAACGAATAAGTCACACCACTTCATCTTCATAACACTCTCTAAAGCTGGAGCTCTGCAATAGGATAGCATGAAACGAGTTACATGATGTCACAATGATTACCTGAGACCCATACGAACATCTTTCATCCAATGCACAGATAAAAACAAAAGCCGACTAGCTGTCTCACAAATGAACTGAAGGTTCATCTCAGGTGATTGAGGAACTGGCAGATCAAATCGAGATCTTTCTCGATTGAAAATTGGTCCGTCCTCACTAACACTTGATGCTGTATTCGACGAAGAAGGTGATGCTGATTGAGCTAGGCCGATCACTGTCATAACATCAATTCCTGATTCATCTTCGCCAATAGATTCCTACAAAAACATAAAGTTCTTTCTGTATCAACAAAATTATACGTACCCGCTTCGTTGAGTAATCTGTTTGGGGAGAGCTTGAATTCGGCCGAATGAGGCTATTGGGGGAAGAAGAGTTAATTTCATGGTCTTGATCATCAACCCTGGTCAGTCGTGAACGATCTTTTTCCTGTTCTGATTTAACAATTGCCAAAAGACCAAGCATTTGTCCGGAAATGGGCTGAAATTATAATCTCATAAAAAAAGTTCTCAATCAACAAAAAGTACTGTAGTTGTTCGCGAACTATGAACCATCGTTGGTGCTGTTGAGGAGGAATCAGTCATCTGCTGAACTGGACGACGTTCAGCTTGAACGGCTGCAACAAATAGTTATACTTTGTTCTCATGAGTAAAACATTATTATGATTTATATTTATTATGTATATATCTCATTTATTCAGAAGATATTTATTTCTATGCACGCGGGGCTTATAAAGCAAAAAGCCCGGATCTTAGTAATCATGCCCTATGCCCTTAGGTGACGAGCTTTTCCTGTTTCAGTTCTTCCTTTGAATATCCTGTCTTGGAACTAATTAGGAGCTGTCTAATCTTTCTATCTATCTTATAGCCAATTTTATTCCAAAAAGCCCTATAACATAATTTTGAAAAGAAATTAATCTTTTCTCTCTAAAGACCACTTTCTATTGAAAAAAAGTTTAAGCTTATGACGGTTAATCTAATAACTAACTCACTGTTCTGTTTGCCCCAGCTCAATCTAACCTTTGAGCGAATTTACAAGGCCTTTTATCGTTTACCCTCCCTTTTATTTTTCCCATATTTCTGTTTTTTCAAGCAAAACGGAAAGAGGAAGAAAGAATGGATAACAATCTATGCGGAATCACATCATCAGCTTCTTCTTTTTTCTGAATTGCTTTTTAAGATGTTGTTAGATGAAATTAAAAATGGAAAAACAGCTCATTATTATAAAATACAATGTGCTTCACAAGGTTTATACTCTTGCGAATTTGATACTGTTATACCCCAGAGTTTCATCAATACGAACTTAAGCTTCAATCTTTCCCACAGTTTGTTTTTATTGGAAATGAACTCACATTCACTTCTCATTCCCATCGCTAAGCATTTCTTTAAACGACAATACTGGCAACGATTTCGATGAAATTTCGTTACAGGGCAATCTTTGCCTCCTCGACAGACATATCCAATCTAATGAAATTAGAATGAGAATACGAACGACCCAAGAATACTCACCTGTTTTCGGATTGATCGTTTGAAGAAGCCTTTGCATCCTTCACAGGACACTGCACCGTAATGCCGTCCAGAAGCTTTATCACCGCATACGACGCAAATCTCACTTGCTTCACCGTTACCAGATGAGCTTCTCATATGTGAATGTAGCTGAGGATGAGCATCAGATGTTGCGGAAACAGCACGTTGCACGCCGTTCATTACACCCGCATTGACAATCTGAAAAAAATGATATAAGAATAGAGGATAGTCTCATCAAAATCAGAAATTTATTTGAGGTTTTCTCAACATTGAAATGGAATGAAGAATGAGAAGAGTAGAGAAGATGAAGAATTATTAAAGTAGACATTCTGATATAAAAATCAATCGATAGGTTAAAAGCTGAATGAGCGATAGGGCGACAAATTTCCACGTATTAGGTATTTGAAGACCAATTACATCGTTGATTGATTTAATTATGTGTAAATGGAGGAAAGATAAATGATTAGATATTGACGTGATTCTGAACGTGAATTGCCACGTGATTTACGTGAATCTCACATGCCTGTGTGTGTTTGTACGTGTGTTTGTGTGTGATTATTCTCATTTTCATCTTGTTAACAGCACAGAGCGGTTTGCACTAACCCTTTAAAACTTTTTTCACTCAAAAATAATTTCATTTGTTATAGAATTCTGCTGAAGGACTGTGATGGAAATCAAATAACAAGCTTCTTATCTCCCAAATTAAAAACAATGAGAATTATCTTCAGATTGAAAAATGGCTGGGATCGAATGTCATTTAGCCAGCTGATTTCGTCATGTTCAAAACCAAGAAGCATATGTTTCAATGATTTCACATTGAGTATATCTTCGACATAATTAATATTCCAACCGAAGCATACAATCAGGTAGTGCAGTTAATTATAATATATTATTATTTTTACAATACGTATCAATTACTGAGACATGCCATAACAACAGGTTCAGTCAAATGGGTATTAAGCTGAATAGATGAAAGCTACGAGATGGCTACATGTTGTGATTTGTGCCGATCTCAGGATATGGCCTATTGCTTCTAAGAGAAACAGATGAAAGTAGAATGAGGAAAGGAGAAAGAAAAAGAGAAGGAGGGAAGGAAAAGGGAAGACGAGAGGGAGGAGTTTATGATTTCTAATAAATCTAATGCTTTTTTACTCTCTCTATCTTTCTCTCTCTCTCTCTTGGTATGAAAGTTCAACTCATGTTCAATCAGAGAAAATTCACAAATATCTAAAAAGGTTAATTACATTGATATTATTCTCTCATGTATACTTTATAATGAGTTGAACATTCATGCATGCTATTTGATGACATTCAGAGATTTTGCGTTTACGGCTCAATGCTTAGAGCTCGAGCTTAACAGCTTGGAAACCTCGGCAACCGCAGTCATAGGCGATAGTTGAACGGGCCCGGATGTCCTGTTCATATGGGGGTAAAGGCAACATATCAATTTACGATTAGAGGATATATTTGAAGAGAGGAAAAGAGAAATGAAGGAAATTAAGCAAGGAAATCAAGAGGGAAAATAAAAAATAGAGAAAGATGGATGAAGGACTGAGCTTAATGGAGAGACAGAGAGGTGGGGGCACATAACAAGGTTAGGTAAAATTGTACGGCCGAAATGCTTTGATAAATTAATTTAGAAATGTAATCGTTCATTCACAAAACATAAAGTATTGGCGTTGTCAAGGTAGTTTGTCTTTTGTGAGGCCGATCTCTACGTTTGTTTTTGGCCTGAGGCAACTCAAGTGGCAGCACGTCGTTACCTCAGGTTCTCTGCCGTCAGTTCCACTCAAATACAAAGAAAAAGAAAGAGAGAAAAACAGAAACAGAATGAGAAAAATATATAGAAGGAGAGAAAATGTCTAAAAGAGGTGCACTAAGCGACGGAGTAGATCGCTGGTGCTGTTGCTGGTGTTCGACTTGTTGCCTAGAAGGATGGTGGGAGGAAAAGCCGTTTGTCGATCCGGTCGTTTATGAAAACTGACAGACGTTCAAGAGAGCTTTTTGTGAGCCAGTATAAGGATAATTAAAGATAGACAAAAAAGAATGAACGACGAGGAATTTTCCATTTAAGCCATCATTTATTTTTTTATGAAAAAATACAGAAAAACAAAGGTTGTGACGAAGGTGATTCTCCGGCTATTGCCAGACATAATTGTATGAAGAGAGAGTATCAAAGAAAACGAGCAAAATAGGAAAGGATCGGTAGATAAGCCTCACAAAGCGGCTTTTGCCAAATGGAAGCAGTTCAGAAGGTAGAGAATGATTATGCGTGAATTCATTAAACAAATATGTTCAATGGATTCCTGCGTGAGGTCAAAAAATTTTTGCCGAGATAGATGGTGGAAGATAAATGGCTGAACGATTTCCTCAGTGGATGGATGAGTACATTCAATTGTAATAGCTTTGCTTTTGGAAGAAAAAAATGAAGAATTGTCGGAAATGTAATTGAAAAGCTCAATGGATATAGAAATCGACATCTGATGGGTGGTCCTTTCAAGTTTAAAGGCGAAGTTCACGAAGAACTATGAAAGGGAAAAGGCTATTATGAGAATTTGAACTGCTTTAAAGAGCAAAAGATTTTGAATGTGATGGAAAGAGCGGAAAAAGACTAAAACATGATGAGAGAGCCCAATAAAAGAGGTAGACCTCCGGCTGTGTTCAGCTGACTGGACGAGAGCTAAGTAATCGCCGGAGGGCACATGAAATTGAAGGCGAAGGCGTGACCTCTGTGCCGGTGATGTCGTCATGAAGCTTTGAAAAGGAACAAGAATTGAATAGAAAAAGACGATCATATAATGAGAGAGGGAGAGAAGAAGCGAGAGAGAAAAAGACAGAGAGTGAAAATAAACGAAAGAGGTGAGAGGAGCTTGAAGCAATCGCTCGTGCCAAGGGTCAGAGGCCAAGAGCTGAGCGTAGTAACGGGATGTCGGAAAAAGAAATAAATGGGGTTGAGCCTAAGGAGAGAAAGGTTAAAAGGTTTGATAGAGATCAGTTTGAAGCATTTGCAGAAAATGAACTAGCAAAAATGTGTTTATTATATGATGAAAACTGACATCAAATAGCTCCATTCTGGAATAAGATAGACACAGAGGTCAAGCTTGTCGTGGCACTAGCTTGAGGGCAAATAATCATTGAGGACATGGATAGCTATGGAAATAGAGACAGGAGAGGAGAGAGAGGGAGAAAAGAAGAAAACATAGACAGGGATGGAAAGATGAAGCTGTTCTTCCCTGTTCGGTGTCATCATATTCATTAAGTGAGCGGAGACATACTGTTGTTGACTTGAGAGGGAGGATAGAAATGTAAGAAATACAAGTTAAATTGAAGAACTGAAGCAGGTTCATTTTCCTATTTCTCTTATTTTCTTCTCGAAATGACAGAAAGAGAAAATGAAGAAGAACAAAAAATGAGAGAAGAAAAGGATGGCTAAGCTTGTGGATGACGAGCTTCTCAAAATTTCCTCAAAAAAGCATGAAGCGACATTTTACATATGAATGATTGTGATAATGAGACTAAAGATCTAGTTTTACTATAGAATTTGAAAGTTCATAATGAGCAGGTATTAAATGGCACACATATAGGAAGCTTACAAAGGTCACGTTTCGCCTCTTTAACAGGTGCATAACCATGTAGCCCTCAGGGCTTTTTATTGATTAGCGTATCGATGATGATAAAAAAAAGTCTTTGATATAAAATAATATTCGAAGTTGAATATAATATGTTCGCCCCAGGTATAAAGCATTTCCAATTTCATTTATGTCAAAATCATAAAATAGAAAATTTTATAATAGGAATTATGTGAAGCACATGAGAGACAAGGACAGAAATTTTAATGAGACGATGAGGTAAGAGGTGGCTGAAAGAAGCATAGAGATTATTGTATATTGGGAATGAGAAAGAGAGAGAGAGAGGAAATAAGAGAGAAAAAGAGAGAGAAAGCTGAACAATGACGAAAGAGGGGTAAAGTTGAAGAGATAAACTGATAAGCAAAGGAATATGAAAGAGGCGGAGGTATAGGTCACAAGGGAGCTTTTAGAGCTGAAGCAATTTTAATGATTATAGGTACATGGCTTGACAAAATTAAAAAGCACAGAGAAACGTGAGAATGAGAGGTTAATAGAGAGAACCAGATTGAAACGGAGAGAAATTGGTAATTACGAAACATGTTCAAAGATAACCTTTCGATTGAAAGTTCCATGGAAATATGGTAACCATGTGATTCATAAATATAAGTTGTATAGTAAAAGCATAGAACGAATATTCAAATGCTTCTAAATGATATAAAACTTGAAAACACGTTTGTGATCTGAGCTCAATTTCAGTGAAAGCCCACCGATTGAGGGATGGAAGGTTAAGCTTAGAATATGAAATAGATTGTGTTATCTGTGATTCATCTTCAGAAACTGATGATTGAGACGTGTTATCAAGAGAGAAAGACTAAAAAATACAATGAGGGAGAGAAGTCTATATGGAGCCTCGAAATGATGACGAAGAAGACAAAAAGAAGATTTATTTTTCATTGAAATGAAGAGAGTGAGAGATAGAGTATGACATAGAAGCAAGAAAATAATTCTATGATCATTAGAAATGGGAAAAGGAAAAAGCTTGAAATGGATGAGCATAAAGAAGTATTGAAGGAATTATTATGAACTTGAATTAACAATGAAACTTAAATAATTTAAATAAAATTAAAATAGGAAGGTTTCATTAAAAATGACAAGAAAGAGGAGGAAGAAGAAGAGTAATGCGAGAGAAAGATTGAGCAACAGTATGAGAGAGATAGAAGAAGTGAAACGGAGAGAGAGAAGAGGGCGTAAAAAACCCTTCCAAGGTCGTTAAGGTTAAAAGGCAGGAGTGGGCTCAATAATATCGAAAAAAAAAATGTTGAAAAACATGGTCAAATAAAACAAAATTCATGAAAATAAAATATTTTTTTTTGGCGAAAGAAAAATAATAATCAATCGATAGAAATCTATCAATCGTTTTGAAAAATGTCGTCATCGTCCTTTCCAGTCGTTGATGATGTTTGAAGACATCTGATGATGTCTGTCTTCTATTCATTTCTAATAGTTTCTTTATCGTAGGTCAAAGGTCATAATGATTAAAATAAAGAGAAATTGATTGAAAAAAAGCAATGAAATTCGGAAATGTCGCTACCAAGTAACTCCATGAGAGGAGGAAGTCAAAAATGGAAAGATTTCATATGGTTTATGCCAATGATTGATTTGAACATAACATAGTTGATGAAGACCTGCAGTTGGACATAACGACCTTTCTCGTTAAAATAGTGTCATGGAAGAGCTCCTCTCCCTTTTCTCCATCCCTTTTAGTACTTTTGTATTTTTTTGTTTAAAAGCAGATTATTGCTAATTCGTCAGGCGAGAGAAGTAGAGAGAGAGAGAAAATGAAAAATAAAGAGAAATAGTACGCGAAAACAGTTTTTGGAAGCTTTTAAAAAGATAAAAATCGAATGTCAGGGGAAGTTTTTCGAAACAAAAAAAAAAAGAAAAAAAAAGTTTCACGTCAAACGTGGAAGCCATAGTGTTTCACGTGTGAGGATAGGACGAAGCAACCGTCATATCTATCACTTGCAAATGAGGGAACGGTTGTTATTTTCAATATTGTTGTTGTTCATCAACGAGCTTGTTGCTAGAAACAACGGCTGAATGATGTACTATTGAGTTCAAACTAGGAGATGAAGCTGTTCAAAATTCGAAAATTCTCAATAAACTTATTAATAATTATAAGCTTTAGTTATTAGATAGTGAGCATCTAGAGAGTGAATAGGATGAGAAATAGAGAGAACGAGAGATTATCATCTCCGAAATCGATGTCAATGTCTTCTGTCAATCCATAAATTATTAAAGAAAAAGTACTTTTATCATCTGTCTTTTTCATTTTTTTCTCCATTTCATCTCTTTTTTTTTATTTTTTTGTTGTTCCCTCATAACAGAAAGAAAAAAAAAGAAAAGATATGGCTTTGGTAAGAATTGTTTGTCACAAACGACATCAGGTACTAGCCAGATCGACTTCTGTACGTGTCGATGCTTGTAGTCTCCCCTTTTCCTTCATCTTTCTGTTTTTTGTTATTCACCTTTCAAGCTTTTGCTAATACCTGGTGCTTAATGCCAGATATTAAAAGTAAGTTATTAGAAAAATAAAAAATAAGAAGTATTCAAAGAGAATTTGACGACATACGAGGGTTATAGAATGAACAACCACTGGTTGCCAATGGTTACCAAGTAGGAGGGTAATGCACTTCCATTTGATCCCTTTTCATATCTTTCTCTCTCTCTCTCACTGTTACTTTATGATTTCGAGAGGCTAATTATATCTTTCATATTTATGCCTTTTCCTGCAGTACAAAAGAGCCCCACAACCAACTGATAATGGAGCGAATAAGGAAAAACAATCAGAGATTTGGAAAAAGAGAAGCTGGCATCGGGTAAAAACAACCGATGCTTATCAACCTTGTTGATGTCATGTTTGGCCAATATGGCATAAAGAATGAGACAAATAAGAAATATGGAAAATTACTAACAAGAAATATATATAAATATTATAATTGAACTAACCTGTGCATTACGTAGAGCATTGATGTGATGAAGGAGATTAGGCATAACCTGAGGAAGAACCGTACGTGATTGTTGTTGCTGTTGTTGCGCTGCTAATAGATTATTACGAGTTGCAGCCTGTAACATATGGAAATATGTTTTCTTTTTATTTTCATTAATAAAGATTAATTTATCATCAGCTGATAATTCTGGGAAAAACAAATGATGAGAAAAGTAAAAATGAATAAAAATGAAAACAGCTTATTTGATACAAATTCGGAAAAAAAACTTTTTTTTTTCGTTTTTCTTTCTTTTCTCCTCATTTTCTTTTCTTTTTTTTGTTCAAAAAGACAAACTTGCACAAAAAACCTGCAAAGTAACTAACATTATCATCAAATGATTGCAGGCAGAGAAGAAAAAATGGAATGGCTGAGAAAAGAAAAAGCGAATTGTATACGAACGAGGTGAATAGAGAGGAATGTTTTGTGAAACTGAAATTTCATTTGACGGTATGTCCAGCCTTCTGTAAATGGGAAAAGGCGGGAAGGAAGCGTTGAACTGGCAAGAGATGAATGTTAACGAATTTTAGAGAGAGTAGATTGAAAGAATAAGAAAAATACAAGGTCAAAGGTAACGGCGACACACGACCCCCAGGGGTGACTACAGACAGTATCGCAGAGACGCCGCAGGTCAACAACGTGGATCATCCAATATATTTTTCTCAATGTTACAATCAGTCAGATAAAAATGATCTGAACAGAACTGGATTTGAACTAATTTCATAGATCTGAAGTGGTCAAAATGTTGATTTGATAAACGAGTTGTTAGTTGCTGAACGATGGAGGGGTGAGTAGGCTGAAAGAGAGATTCGATGTTGAAAAAGAAAATTAAAATGACGATTGGATTATAAATAGAATCAAAAGAGGAGAAGCAACCGTTCAATGTTTCAAAGCCGATTCAAAATGATACATGACGTCATATCACGTGATAATGGCAAGACCGAATCATTATGCTAATTGGATAAGAGGTGATATATGATGTGCTAGGACTAAATTAGCATACACAGCTAATATTAGAATATTCTTGGTTGAGTAATCAATAATAACGCCCGAGGGTGTGACATCTAAAGGTCATCAGGTATAGTTGATTCAGGTCAATGAAATATGTATAATAAAGAAAATATATGGAGAGAGAATATTATAAAACTTCAGTCTGATTAAGTTTGTTCGATAGAAAAACATCGAAACGGATGGAAAACATATGTTTTTGCTTACATATTCATATCATTTTGGTTCAAAATGTAGAACATACCTGCATCATACCAGCTAGAAGCTGCGGATTACTGAATATTCCAAGCTGTGCTGCCATTAATGACGAGTTTAAAGCGTTTAAATTCGCTGGTGATGAAGCTGTTATTGCTGCGCCAGGATTCAGAAGACTGGCAAAATCAAGTTGACCAAGGCCCGCCGGATCAGACGAGGGCGAACTGACAACGACGTTGCCTGACGTGTTGATGAGGTTTGCCGACACAGAGGACGGGTTCAGAATAGACGACGGCGGTGCAACTGTGGAACAGGACGATGACGAAGCTGCTACAGATGCGGCAGACGACGTCAAGGAAGAAACGGATGAAGCTGAAGAGGACGACGTGGTGGCGGAGCTGTACGTGCCCGTTGAGTACAATTCCGTACTCGACGAGAATGATTACAGAACGACGTTCTGAGATGTCTGATGTCGAATGATGTTAGAAGAGGGAGAAAGTTGACCAAAGCGATCCGACAACCAAAGGCGAGTCGATCGTCTTCTGAAAATGGCAAGAGATGATTAAGGATTATAAGAAAGAAACATAATGTAACGAACGAAATTCACAAAGATCATATGAAGAAGTAACAAGAAGATAAGAACAGTTGAAATGAACAAGTTACAGAACGGTCGCAGTAAAATAAAAAATAAAAATAAGAAAAATAGATTAAAACGGAAAAGTAAATTTATAAGCTGGAGATAAAAATAAACTTTTTTATTTGAATTTTCCAGAATCTTATACAGACATCACCCAGAAGAAGCAGTTTCTTGTGGCTCTATGGAAAGCCGGTAGGAAAGGTGAATACAGTGATCGGCTCTTATGTCTTCTCTCATTCTTTTTTATTTTCTTTCGACGTTCAGTCACCGTTTCCCCTCTTTGCTACTCTGCTGCTCCAGAAGAACAGGGGATTGGAGCAGCATCTGATGGTTGCTCTTGTCGCCATCACTCGCCCACCTCTGGCCGTCTAGCTTTCTGTTTGATCTGGAAGACCTGAAGGTTGACCAACAGAAAAACCATATGAATAGCAGAGATCACACAGATATTAAGTAGAACAGGGTAGAAAATAAGTTCAGACGAATGAAAGTACTTGTTTCTCTCTTTCTCTTTCACTCTCTCTCTCTCTCTATCTCTATTATTACTTTCAAGCTTAGAGAAGAAAGCTCAGTTGAGAAGTGCCTCGAATATGAAGACGATCTTTGGCAGATTATTGTGTACTCGATAGAGAGACTCATTTCGAAAATATGAAGTCCAATTTTAGAATTAGTTAGGAAGGCAGTAGTCATGATAATACACAAAAGTTAAGAATAAACAAATATTGTTTTCTAAATACCAATGGCATACTCTTATTGAAGAGTTCTGCCATCAGTTAATGGTAGTTGGAGGACGATGGAAGAAAACTGAGAAAAATCAGAAATCTCATAATAGAAAATGAGAATGAATTGGAAAACGAACACATTTCGAAGAATCCCCGCACATGCACTAGCAAGAGGGCGAAGGACATGATGCGCTAGCCCTACAAGGGCTAGTCCGGTTAGCACAGAAAAACCTGTGAAGGCAGCTTATTAAACATCTGATCATACTTCATGGCTTTTCCTACATCATCATCATTATCTTCAACATCGTCAACAATCTTTACAACATAGGCTTTTTCCATGATTTTTCAATCCTTTTTCATCCATGCATCATAGAACTTGAGGTGATGAGGGAACGAGTATGAAGGCTTGCCTCATAACGAAAACGAAGAGAAAAGCTATTGCAAAACTTCTGAATAGCTGTAAAATAGTATTAGATTTCTAGAGAAAAGAAAGGTTGATAGAGAAGAAGAGGAAGAGGACCGGTCAGCGTCGGTCAAACAACTGGTTTTTCCAATAGATGAGCTGGCTGACCGTCCGTCGTCCGAAGACCGCCCGATCGTTCATTTCTTCCACACTCTCTTTCTATTTCTTTTCAACTTTCTTTCTTAGCTTATACATGATCTTCGTTTGTTCCTCAATGCCTCTGAGAAAGAAAAGAATAAGGAGAAGAGAGGAAGAGAGGGCAGGTTATTAGCAGAGAGAGAGAGATTCTTAAAGGATGCCCAGTCTCTAAATTTCTCTGCAGCTTCGTTTATCTCTCGCTTGCTTCAATTCAACAGGTGAGATGATCGGAATGACAAAAATGGCAAAGAGGGAGAAAAATAGAAAATTTCCGGTCACTATTGGTGAGATAGAAATCCTATGTCGGATTATAGCTCGGTTTTTTGGATGACATGGCCAGGGGCAATAAGGCTGCGTAACAGGAATATTTTGGAAAAACAAAGCAGATACCTATCATTGGAATAATCATAATATCAACAATACGAAATAAAAAGTAGAAATTAAGAAAATATTGATGGAGCTCAGTCATTGGTAATCAAGAAGGAAAGAGTAACAATGAGTGATAGCAAGACAAAGATACCAGTAAATCAGAACAAGCCGCATATGAACAAGAAAATTCATTTAAGGTAATTAGATGGCATTTCAAATAATATGTGTCGATGATGAACAAGGCAAGAGAGAAAGAGGAACAATAGAGATAAGCTGAAGACTGACTGGCGACTCACATATTGAGAGCCGCTAGATGAATTTTCGTTCCAAACAAAGTTACTATACAGTTAACAGATTACTTTTCCCTTTTAACTTTGGGGAATCGACAAAGATCGGGTCGTCATAATTGAAGTAAACGAAAAGCTCAAAACATCATATTCTGACGACAAATAACAGTCATTGCCATAAATGCTTTTTTTTGTTTTATCAAAAAATTTCTCAATGTATATTTTCTTGAAGGAAAATATTTATTTATTTGAAATATGCTAATTTCAATGTTCACGCAAGCTTCACGCGGGTTTGACTGTGAACATTCGCAGAAACTGGAACGGTTGAATAAATAAGAAAATAAATAAAATTATAATTTGTTATAATTTAGAGTTCGGTAAAAGTTTGACAGAGCAGAAAGGAATGGAAAGAATGAAAAATTTTTATCGGCATGATGGATTTAGCCACTCTGTGCCTTGGGTGTTTCCTTTTTTAGAAAATAAATTTTAAAAAAAGCAACAAGCCCCTCCCTTCTCGCAGCCGATTGACGGTTTGTCTGTCTTGACCGGACCTGAAAAAGTCTTGACTGGACGACGGTGACGAAGAGAGAGTGTTAAACAGATCGAGAGGGACCATCGGCAGTTCGAACAGTGCTTGTAGAGAGAGACAGTCCTGTCCGGTATTGAAGGAAGGGGAAACTGGAGCTGAAGAGTGATGAAAGCAGAACTATGAAGAAATGAGAGATAGCGAGAGAGATAGTAGAAAAATTGTCGCAGAGTTGTCTGGCTGATCGGGGCTGTAGGTTCATTTGTTTATTTGTTTGTTTGTTTGCCCTGAGGGCAAGTGTACAAGCAACGATGAGTGTGCATCGATGGAAAGGCAAGAACGGCGAAACATAGATGAAAGTCGAAAAAAAGGAAAAACGGAAGACAGAAAATTACACAGAAAACGAAGAGAAATGAAAAAATCAAGAAGGAAACCGGACGAGCGATAACGCTTGTTTCCTTCCCTTTGCAATCGTCCTCAGTGCCTTAGGGCAAACAAACGGTTCAAGGGGCAAAGGGAAATCTGTCTGGATGACAGTGGACAACTATACCATCTTCCTTCAAGCAAAAGATGATTTGAAGCTAAAGCAATTTCAAACGTTTCGAAGACCAAGTGGATGATCAGAGGCTGAGAATACAGTGAAAAAAGAAAAGCTAAAAATACAAGAAGGATTCGTCACCTACAAAAGGATTGAAAAATCGCATCTTCCTGGAGCTCTTGATGAACTTCTCGCTCAAAACTTAAAATGAGTGAAATGGAGCCATGAGGAATGTCAGTTTAAGGAGATGATGACCCAGAAAAAGGACAATTTTTTATGCCATCTGTCCCCAGCAGGTCATCAAGCCGGACCAGGTAAGAACAAAGAAAATTGGCTAAATGACGGTAGTTGACTGGGGGTCGAAAGAGAAGTTGTCGCCGTCAGGTTGAAGTTGAATTTTGTGTTTGAAGTCTATTCCTCTGCTGATTTTATGTTATTTTTTTTGAATGGAAGAGAGGAGAGAGACATAGACACGGGCATGGAGAAAAAGGTGTCGGAGGGCCAAGGAAAGAAGATAGAACCTTACGATTGAAATATTTTGAATCAAAGATGACCAAATACCGTTTCGGAAGTGAAAGCATGAGCGACGCGTGCGAGACTCGTAAAACATGTGAAGATGAAGATGATTATGGTTTACACGAGTTTTTCATCCTCTTTTCTCTCTAATCCCATCTAGGCAAATGGAGAAAAAGAAACAACTGGAAAGTAGAAATGAGACAGATTAATGAAAGCTTCATCCACGAAAAGCTGAAACTACCGTATGCGGGCGAATAGGTGAAATAACCGTCAAAGCTCACTGTCTGATGCATTTTTGCAGAACATTTTTCTGAGGATATACTTCAAACCGTATATTTTTTGATAAGTAAATGTGAAAATATCAAGTTGGAAGAGGAAAATGATGGGAAATACACAGCACACACAAGGCTAAATGAACAGTGGGAGTTAAAAGCTGCTCTGAGCAACAAATGATTTCAGCAGGCAAAACAGACGGAAAGCAGGCAACGATTACAGAAATAACAAAAAAAAAGATAAAAAAACGAAAAGCAAGGAGTTAGATTGGAGATTCGAGGGGGCGACGTTTCTATCGTCGTCGTCGGCAACGAAACTGAAAATACGGAAACAGGCGAGACAGCTTTCACTCGAAAATTGCACGAGTCGGATTTGGATCGAAAAATCTGTAAAGTAGTCAAGGAGCAAACATATATGGAATTATGAGAGATTATGAAGATGTCAGAACTAAAGAGTGTTTTGATATTAAAAGGATAAACCAGACAAATAAATGTTCAGAAGGTAAGCTGTTGAGAGAAACAGTTCAAATCATTTGAATCTTTTTCATTATTGAGAGAAAAGTTGAAAAGCTTAAAATTACTAATGAGCTTCTCCTTTTTGATAAAGAATTATTAGTGTCATGAAAAGCTATCATTAAACA